ATTTTACTAAGATAATTTGTATATCAATCTTGTTGATCTGTCACTCCTACCAAGAAAAAATGGAACTTTTTTTTCTACCTGAGACTAGTGGAACACATTATTTATGGACATATCGACAAACATTTCTAGAGATGTCAGTAAATATACACATCCACACACACACACACACAATATATACATACCATATATTTGACAATATATTTTACAATTTATTACATATTTATCACATATTTGTACTTCACACATACACACACATGCGTGTACGTCGTTGAAATGTATTATTGTTTTTTGAAATGTATTATTATTATTATTATTATTATTGCGTTATATACTCAACCATACATTATAGTTAGCTTATAAATAATAAAAAAAAAAGAATTACTTATTAGAATGGAATTCTCATTAATGAAAACAAATTATCTTCCCGTGGAGATGAAATATGTAACTATATTTTTATATGTTTTATATTACAAAATGAAACTTAATATATTTATAAAAATTATTGAGTCTTTTATATATTTAAATATAAGTAGTCTTTTCTTCTGCATATATTTTAAGCTGTTTTCTGGAATGTACATTGCATATATAAAATATTAGATGTATGAATATTACAAATTTAATCAATATTGCTAGGTTTCATCCGCAATAACCAAATATCATTATAAGCAAGGAGAAAAGATGTCAAATACATGCGAAGATATTAGAGTTATTGCAATAGATCTGATACATACGATGGAAGTTGAGTTAAATATGAGAAATCATTTAATTTGAAATTTTCCTTATTTCTGTAAGAAAAAAACAACTTATAAAAATAAACGGGTACAAGATTTTAATGTCGTAGTACTTTTGCATTTTGGGCATTCCTTGGATCTACGAAGATGCACTTTTAAGCATGATGCGCAATATAAATGTCCACAAGGAGTAGTAATTGGTTTTAACTTGGAACATAATAGTTCTAAGCATATCGGGCATATTAAGGGCACTGCTTTTCCATTATCTGATTCAGTTACATAAGGTTTATCATCATCAGGAATACAAATTGTGTCATCAAGACTCACGATTTCTCCCATGTGTGTAGTATTGTTGGATTTTGTCTTTCCACTAATAGATACAAAACAACCTTGTTTGTAGATATTTGTAATTGAAAAATTAATCTTAAAAAAACATATATATATGTCTCTATCTTTTGTTAAGAAATAAATTAAATTAAATTAATATGTACGAACGTTTTATCACTGTGTGACACACTTCTTTTACATGTAGAAATATGATTTGAGTCTGTTGGAATATTGTAACCACTTGTAAATACATCGTTCAAACTTCTCCTACATATGTACGATTCAGGTCTAATTCTCATTGGTGACTCGTTCGTCAAATCAATAATATCAATTGGGGGGAATGATGAAGTAGTTGTAGTTTGGTCTTCTTGATTATTATCTGTCATAATCAGGTATCACCTAAAAAAATTTTCTATATTGAAATTATAATAGTTTTTGTCTCTGCTTCCTTTTCTGATTATTAGAAGTATTAGATTAGATTAGTAGATTATTAGAAAGAAATAAGAAATTCGCAAAATTGGATAAAATTATTTATCTTATGTAAAAATTAATGTTGTTCATAATGAACAGAATATATATACATGATGCATTGTAAAGTTACAGAAAAAAACATACAATTTATGATTGTCACAAAAAGCGAGTTTTATAAGACGTACATACTTAATTATTTATCATTAACATACATTAAATATTTTTTCAAAAACTATTAATTATTTGTAATTACCCTTCGTTTATTGAAATAACCGTCAGTTATCAGTCACAATCGACAAAAATCGACTGCTGATCGACATATAATAAAGCGACTAAATACGGATGAATTTTAAATATTTATAAATTTTTAGAACAATTTATATATAAATTATTATTTGTGCAATATACACGTGTTCATATATCTCACAATACGAAAATTTAACGTATTCAATATTCGAATCTATAGTGTTCTTACTCTGACAAAAAGAAGTAAAGCTAATTTCATGAAATATAAAAATATTTGATTAATATTATGCTCACTTCGGATTATGAAGGTTAGGCAAACATTCATCAACTGAAAAATCTCCGATGCAAGTCGCCAACGTTATGAACTCGAAGTCGAGGTGTAGCTTAAACGTGGTCTATAGTAGGAATAAATTTAATAAGCAAGAGTAAGAAATTAACCAATCATTGATTGTTCTCCTTACATTCGAATATATGATTATTCAATTTTTTATTCTTATTTCTTCGATTATTTCAACGACAAGTTAAAGCGTAATCTACAATGGGCATTAGAAGTATGTTCATAAGAAGTAAAAATAAGAAATTTATCAAATTCAATCATATTCGAATTTAAAGAGAATAATCGACTATGATTGGTTAATTTCTTACTCTTATATTTAAGACCATCTTAAGTTCATCTTCAGTTTATGCTTCATAGCCAATAAAATGTGCCATACATCATCTGATGATAAACTTAAGACCGCCTTATATATAAGATACGACTATGAATACCAGTCCAAAAAATATCGATGTTTGCTCATTAATGCCCATACCAGACTATTAGGATTAGAATTGAGATTCGATTGAAATTTAACCAATCAGAGCAAAATTAATTAAATTCAAGTTTAGTGAATCTTGCTTTGATTGGCCAAATTTTAAGTCAATCTCATTTCCAATCCATAGTCTGATATTTTAAGGATGCGTCGTTCGAGTTTGTCGGATATACTGATTGGCTGTCGGATAGGGAATTTCTAGAGTCCCTAACATTTTCTCTAGATGTAATACCATCTTCAATGAACGAACATCAATGGCTTTTTCTCTATACGTGAACATATCTAGATATATTATGTTATGGGTTTGGCATTGATAGAGGTTCTGCGCATGAGTTCTACGTATGGGTTCTGCGCATAAGTTTTCACGGCTAGGTTCCGCAACTAGTTTTCGCGTTTAGATGTCTCGTTTTTTTTAGGTTTTGCGATTTTTCAAGTTTCATGATTGAGGTCCGCTATTTTTTAGTTCTCTCGATTTTTTTTAAATTTAGCGATTTTTTAGGTTTCGCGTTTTCTTTAGGTTTTGTTTTTTTAAGTTTCCTTTTTTTACGTTTCGCATTTTTTTAGGTTTCTTGATTTTTTTGTTTCACGCAATCTAGATTAGGTATCTAGATTAGGTTTTGCCGTTAGATTTGCGGCTAGGTTGCGCGCATAGATTCTGCGGATTTTGCACTACATGCTGTTGCACTGTGAAAACGAACAGCGTTGCTGACGTCATTCTCGATAAAAAGAATGCTTTAGTGTAAACTCCTTGCACTGGTGTGCACTGGTTCAGAAAGTACTTCGAAAACGAACAAACCTCAGAACTGTGCGAGAAAGAGAGAGAGAGGTTAAGAATGCACTGACGACTGCATTTACTGTCAGTTTATTGTGTGAATAATTGACTAATTAATTTACAGAAATAAACACGCTTGACGTAAAATTGATTACTGAACTAAAAAAATTCTTTAAAATGTCAAATACTAAGGAGAAAGATGAAGAAAAACCTGTAGTAGCGAAAACAGCTGTAGATCTGCAAAGGTTAAAGCTCGTGAAATTGATGAAAAACATAGTAAGTACCAATTCCTAATCGCTCTTAAACCTTCTTCAAATTTAAATATTTATCAACCGTTCTAAGATACGATGAGGATAATTTACGCTTCAATTACGTATGTACAGGATAAGCCAATCATACTACCAGAACGTCCTAAGGCCAAGAATACACCATCTGTACCAGAATTTGTTCGCAATGTTATGGGTAGCAGCGCTGGAGCTGGCAGTGGAGAGTTTCACGTATATAGGCATTTACGACGCAAGGAATATGCACGGCAAAAGTTTATTCAAGAAAAGGCACATAAGGTAACTCTTGCAAAGGCAACACAAGTATGTACAATATCATGTACAAAGATTTTCTGTATCTTTCAAGATATTGATTTTTGCAAAAATTACAGGAGTTCTTGGATGCTGAATATCATCAGAAACTGGAGGAAAATAAGAAAGTGGCAGATGAGGTAACAGCAAAAAAACGAGCTAAGAGATTGAAGAAAAAGCAAGGACGTAAGCAGAAGAAACAAATGAGAACTACGAAGGAAGATAACACTGCCACGGATGAAAGACACAGTGAAGAAGATAGTTCGGACGAGAATGAGGAGATTAGTGAGAGACATGAAAATGATAGAGGAAACATTCAGAATTGTTCTAAAGATGCATCTACTGTCCAAGATGGATCAAAGACAACAGACGAGAGTCAAGAAGATGCGTCAAAAGTATCTGTTGAAGTAACAAGTGAGAACAGTCAATGTGAAAATGGAACGTGACAATACATATCGATATTCTGGCTTGTTAGACTAAAAATTTGATGATACATGTAACCAGTAAGTTTGATCCTACAATTAGATGATATCATGCTATCACATACTGTTATGGTACAAGTTTCATATTACATTTTACAAATAAATGAGTAAAATTATATCAAAATATGAATTGAAAATCAGGCTTTTACTATAAATTCGTATATATACCTCTTTTTATTGAAAAGAATCATCAATAATTGTTGCCAAAAACGTTAGTCAGGAGATATATCTTACTTTTCATTTTCTTTTCTTTACTAGGTTTTATAAACTCATATTAGATGTTGCGACATCTAAATTGTCATAGCGATTAGTTCTTTCAAATATATTCGCCAAGGATTGAGCGATTTGACGGTTCTCGACGCATTGCGTATTTTTCGCATGCTGCTCCAATTGGGCTCTCGCTTTGATTAAATCCCCCAGTTTTTCGGGCAACACAGTTTCCTACGAACGAGACACTTGATGTATGTACATATGTATATTAATCTATTTTGTAAGATTAATATTCTAATCTTCTCGTAATTATATTTCACGTAACACGCACTATACCTGAAACTGTTTCATGACATTAGAAATCTCCTCGACGTGATCGCCAATTTCCACCCAAAGATTTTGCAGCTCGGATTCTTCTGTGCAAGCGGCAACGTGACTGAGAGTAAGACATAGCTGAAAAATATACTTTGAGTTTGATTGCACGAACGATAACGATATCAGAGAAATGTGTCGGCCAGTTTACTCACTTGTTGAATCAGCGCATCTTGGTGTGAATATTCCACATAACTCGGAACGTGCTGAGCATTCTCAAATGCTAAAATGACGCTTTTCCACAACATCACGGTGTACTCACCGTAATAATTACACGAGGACAGCGCCCATGCGGCGTTAGTGCGAACTTTGAAATTGAGACTGTGACATATCAAATTGGCGAGCACCGGAAATATTTTGACCTGCAAAGATATCTGCTTGTATATCTCAACGAAGCGAACTCATCCGCTGATATACTTTTAAATGCGCACGTACCTTCCAAGAAGGCGGCAGTATCGTATCTGGATTGTGACCTAAAACTAGTCCGAGAGCTCGGCAAGCGTTCCATCGTACCTAAGTCAACGTAAATGCGCGATTCATCTGTTATCACATCGGGCAAGGAATACTTATTTAGCGTGTGTTGTTATTTACACTGGAAAAATTAAATTCTACGCGAAAAAAAAAAGGAAAATTTTTTTCTTGGAAAAACTTCACAGTCGGCTCATAGAACGAATGCGGCGCTACGATGCACGATAAAAAACAGACACGATGCTAATCTTTGTATCGGTAGGCCGCGAACTTTTCAAATCGTATGTCGAGATTTACTTACTTTCATATCGTTTCTCAAAGATGCGCAACTGATAAGTGCGTTTAATCCCAATGTCGTATCGAAGAGTATGTGCTTCTCCGAACACAGATATAAGATAGTCCCGATCGCTCTAACAGCGTTGCATTTCACCTTGTCGTTGTCTTGTGCAGCCTTTACGCACACCTGATACAATTCGGGCAACAGAGCCTTCAGGGGCAATGGATCTTTTTCTTCGTGCTGCCTGGAAAAAAAGTAGATTTCTACAGAAAGAACTGTATGATTTGTATACCGCGAGGAAGAGGGCACACATTCGTGTCTGATGAAAGAAAGCGGCGGACAAACTTTTGCCTGGAGAGGCAGTCACACAGGTTCGCCAATGCCCAAGCGCTCTTGACGCGAACGCCGAGATTTTTGTCATTGAAGGTCAAGAAAACTCCGTGGGCCAGATCCATGAGGAAACCAGTGTCGTCCTCTAACGCCGACAGAGTCACCAACATCCCCAACGCGCGTAATCCGGCTGCCCTCACGGCGCTCTCCTCATCGCGAACTGCTCCGATCAGTATCGTTATTACTAGCACAGTCCTTTGTCTCTAGAAATGTAGTGATTATATTTTAGCTAACTTTTACGTAAAAATATATTCATAATAAAAAAAATAAATAAAATATAAAAACATGAATAATGTAAAGTAATGTGGAAACTCGAACAATGATACATGCTTTTCACCAACACTTACCGACAGTTGCGTGAACACATTCCCGTCGATGCTACCTAGGCAATCGCAAGCAGCCTCTCGCAGTATCGTGTGCGACGATTGGACGAGTGATATCATAGACTCGAATATAATATTCCAGAATAATGTGCCGTTGCTATGATAGGCCTCGGTATTCACGAGGCAGTCGGACATGATCTCCAAGACCCGGCATGCGTGTAACACCACTTGACTCTCCGGCTCCTCCATAACGGAGATCAACGTTGTGGTCACTTTCTCCAGATGAGGAAACACAAGGTTGCCCGTGTTAAACGCCAGCCTCCCCATGAGTTTTAAAGACTGAAGTCGCACCGGTGTACTGATCGTCTGCGAAATGAAAAGGATATATATTGGCAAGGAATATCTCTATTGTCAATCCGATCGTCAACATCTGCGATCGTGAACTCTTGGCTTAAAAAAGCCGGCCACGGCACCTTATTGGATATATTTTCTAGGCAAACGCGAACCAGCAGACCAATTCTCTCGTCTTTAAACGTCTTGACCTCGTTAGAGCTGACCACCGAGCTATCAACGCACACATCTTCGATGTCTATCTCTTCCTCCTCCGTCCCGGTGTCGCTGGTGCAACCAGCATTGAGCTGTAATTTTTCTGACTCTGTATCGCATACAGACTGCTTAGCTAATATATTCGAGATCTCCGGAGTGATCGGTTCGCACGAGGCGAATGCTTCGAAAACGGACAACGCTGCAACTCGCACGGTCGGGTCTGTAAAGATTTTTTTTTACACGTTTGATGTAACGATAAAATGCAATACACTAAAAGTCATATGGAATAAACAGGATGAGGAAAAAATACCGGGACCCCCGGAAATATCTCGAAAAATATCAATTTGATAGAAATGATAGTTGTACCTTTGTGAAATATGTGCGGCCTACAATTCCTGACCAATTTGTTGACCAACCCGGACTTCAGCCGTTCGTACGGCGTGCCATGCACGAGAGCCGCGGCGCATTTCAACGCGTGTGTCAAGACGGCCACGTTTTTCTCGGCGAACAAGACCAACGATAAGGTGAAGTGCAGTTCTTTGACCATCAGACATACTGTGCCGAAAAACGTGATGAAGGAAGTATGATTGGTGTCCTCGGCGTGTATCAAGAACGGTCTGGCACCCATCAGTAATTCGGTCAGTGTACTTAGTACGTTCAGTCGGACCTTCGATACAGGCTCCACCAATATGCTTCTCGTCAACACTCGTGCGTCATTTCGTGAGCCGGTAGCGACAATCTGCGGCCAGTAACCGAAGATTTCTTTGCTCTGAGTGAACTTCGTGAGTGCCTGCAGCAAACACACAGCTCCCAGTCTCACTTTAGAATCGACGGAATGGACGGAATTGTTGCCTTCCGTGTCCGATGTGTCCGAGTCGCTGGAGTATCTGGAGATACCGGTGTGTTCCGAAAGAGCATTACTCTTCGCATCGAACATGATCTTCCTGGCGGCTGCTTTCCTCGGCCTCGCTTTGTGGTTCTTCAGGTTCTTGCATTTCGGAACCTCATGGACGCGTTCCGGCAGGTTCATCGCCGCTGGACGAAGTAATTGCGGCCTAGTGGCCGGATAATCCTTGATACCGTGAAACAAAAATGCCTGCACCATTCCCAGTATCTCCCCAACGAAATCCGGAGTATTGGGGACCTGTTTCGCCAGTATCATGAGATGCAAGATATGCAGACACAAATGTATGACCTGTAAATAACGTGAATCGTTATATATATGCAATAATATATTCCATGTGCATATGATATGATATAACAAATATAATAATCACATACCTTGCTGTAGTAAAGTTTATCATCCTCTCGATATGGCAACAGCAAGAGAATTTTTAAAATAATATCTTTTATCAAAGATAAAAATTCATGCGTACACAAGTAATTACTATTATTTTTGTTTAACACGATTTCTTCTAGACACTCAAGTGCATGAAAGTTGATTTCAGACCATGGATTGCATAAAGGATCTAAGTGTCTTATCAGGAGACCCTTATCCCTGAGTAACAATCGTACGCACTGAAACGAAAAAACAATTGTTTAATTCTAAAGATACAACATATTCATTTGAAGACTAGTTTGTTACAAGAAATATAACTAATGTACCAACATCACCGATATCGCTGGAATATCCAACTTGTAATAAGCCTTTTATAGCAGCCAACACATTAATTTGTGCCAGTGGTTCAGAAAACTCCAAAGCTTCCAAGATCCATCGCTTACAAGCTATCAATGTTCGACCATGGAGCTTAATATTACTTTGTGTTAAATTGTATAGAAATTTGCAGGCGTTCTGGACTAAAGATGTTTCCGCAGGTAGGATATTCATGCAGAGTTGATTCACTAACAACAATACAGCCTGAAAAATAAGTCAAAATTTAATCTTACACATAATAAACACATATACAAAACGCAGCTACGAGTATGATTATTATTGCAAACAATTTATTCTTACATCACTAAAGATAAATATAGATGTTTCTTACATCATTATTTACAACGTCGAGCCACCTATAATCCAGTTCATTGAGATCGCTCAGGCACGCGTTGATTTGCTTCTTGTCACTGAGTTTTGTATTAGTTAACGATAACAATCGATCGATTATTGACAAAAATTTTAACGTAGTATCTCTGACCGTACGACTCACGTGCAACGAGGTCATGATTGCAATCCACGTTGCGATATAATTTTACCATATGTCGAAGAGTACGAGATCAATTTTAACAGTCAACTTGTAATTTGCATCGCCGTCATTATATTGTAACGTCCGGACTTATTTTGGAACATAAATAATACATTAGTATAGATCGGAGGCCGACTTGTCTGATTTCAGACATCACTAGGTTATATATTCATTAGATATAGATATTTTATCCCTATGTTACTAGATGTAAGTACGTGCACATATGTATATTCGCGAACGTTAAATATTATAATTAAAATTATAACGCAGATAACCCATAAACAGAGCGACCCAAAAGCGGAGTCATCACTTTGTTGACCGTCCACATTAGTCACTGATTTTACTACTTTCAAATTTCCCTATATAGTTATCTATCGTGGACGTAACAATAGGTTTGTTCGTTTTCGCTGCACCGCTGAACAAGTGCAATAAGTTGAAGTGAGAAAATATATACTTGTCTCGCTTCAATTAATTGCAGTTCAACGGTGCAGCGAAACGAACAGACCTAATATACATGTTACTCAATTATAAACAATTACAAAAAGAATGCTCGTGTGGGTTAGTGAACGAGGCTTATTTGGATTTATCTCGGCAACGCAGAAGTTCTGGTTTACCGGCTCTGTTTCTTCTTTACCATGTTATGGCTAAAGAAAAAATGCTCATTTACTGAGCCTACCTTATCGACATTAATCTCTTCCTCAAGAAGAAACGCGCGTCCCATATGCAGCAGCCGATAAAGATCCCGCAATTGATTGGCTGATACGATTTGTAAAGTTTGTCACGCCAAATGTGACTCAAAGATGAGGCTAGTCTGCAATCGCAGAATTCCGGTGACATTACGCAAGAACTGTCAGCGGATGTGAAGCTTGGACGACGAAATTTGCGCGCCTTCGCCGAATGACAGTCTGTTCTCGGCCGTGACGGTGGTTGAGGCATGCGAATGTATTGGAGGGAGTGGAACAAAAACACAATTTCGATGTCTAGAACGATAGTGAGTCATCGTGAAAGCGTGAGTTCACCTTAGAACGGGAACGAGATCAGTCACGACAACGAGGAGGAAACGAAGGAAGCGGGCATCATGGAAGTGCTGGATCCCAGCGTCTCCAGAGACGATCAGCCTCTTTGTGTCAACGATTCCTTGGAACGAGGTCCGTTTGCGCAATTATCGTGATACACCCCGCAGTCTTATAGTACCCATTATTTGCGTAATTGCGCTTCCTCCTTCCACGAATGACGATGTTTACCTTCGCCATAATAATAATAACGCGACGCGTTGTTTGAAAACAAATGGATCACTATATGGGGACGAGAATAACTGTTGTCGTTTAAAAGTGATCTGCCGCCCGCTCAAATATTGCGAAAAATATAAATGATGCGAATGTAATTGGGCATTATTTCGCGGATCTGATAACCGTTGATGATTCGTTGAACGAATGACGCGTCAGGAGTCCTTCATTTTCGCGTATAAGAGACGTCAATTTTCGCGTTGAATTTTTCCCGATTGTTTAAATTTATTTTGCACCTTGTTACTTTACATCGTTAAATATAGGTATTTTTGAGTGATCGATCGATTATCATTGAGGAGCTTTAACAGGAAAACTAACATTATTATCAATAATCGTTAGCAGATAATACGATCTATAATCTTTGTTGTCAGTATATATATAGTCAGTATATATAATTTACAGCAATGTTCTTTCAGTTAATTCGTCGCAGATACCGACTGATACCAAATCATGCGTCAAAGCACGCCACACATTGGGTTTCCTGGGTTTCCTTGGATTTGCCCTAGTATACGCTATGAGGGTCAATTTATCAGTAGCCATTGTTTCCATGGTTAATCAAACAGCAATACCACATACTGAAGACAATGATACCAGTGATGTCTGTCCCAAAATCAAGCCGACAAATGGGACTTTCATACCGGTAAAACCATTATTATAAAAAAAAATATAATAAAAAAATATATAAAATATGATTCGCTGGATTTCAATATTGCATTACTTTTAAACCTTATGATCTGAGTACGAGTGAAATCTATTCCATTATGCCATTGTGATATGAGTATCACCTCATTATTACTCATCCACAGATTTATCTCGCACATGTGTGACTAAGTTATATAAACACAACTAACACGTGTATACATTCCTATACGTGTAGTTGATAATAGTCTTCTCTCCACCGATATATACATGTTACATATATATATATATACATAGGCTGAGGGTGATAACTATTGTCACCTTGAATATCTTCGGAATTACGAGAATAAGAGAGAAATTTATCTAACACAAATTATACAATACAGAAGCATATCTTATAATAATGACACTGTTTTTCTAAATGGATTCTAAATCGCTTCTAAATTTTCTAAATCGCTTCAAATATCTGAAGGTTACTTTTGTTCTTTCAAGTAGAATTATATAAGTTTTCTCAAAGCAAATCGATTTCCCTGTTCATTCTGCGTGCAAAAGTACCAAAATAAGATCATCGAAAAGTGAATACTTTACGAGATATTTTACAGAAACGACCGTTTCTGTAACTGTGTAATTTCTGTCGGGCAAATTTTCCTCTTACTCTCATAATTTCGAAGATATTCAAAGGTGGCAATAATTAATGCCTCAACCTGTATATATTTGCCTTCATTTTATATCACGGTTCCGTTCATTCTGCGATTCTATTTTCTTTTCGCATTGTTTTTATCATTGAAAATTCATTTTATCGATTCCAGAGCGCGGGGGAATTTGCCTGGGACGAGAAGACTCAGGGCATCATACTGGGTGCTTTCTTTCTCGGTTATGTGACCACCAACGTCCCGGGCGGCAGGATGGCCGAGAAAATGGGCGGCAAGTTAATTTATGGTCTCGGGGTGTTTCTCACCGCTGTTTTGACTGTGATAAGCCCTTTCGCCGCATATTGGGGCCTGGTACCGTTCCTAGTAGTGCGAGTTGCAGAAGGATTTACCGAGGTGAATGTTTCTCTCTCTCTCTCTCTCCCTCTCTTTCTCTCTCTCTCTCTGAAACGTATATACAGCAATAATTATCTCATCAACGTATTGTGTACGTAGGGCGTAACATTTCCCGCAATGCATAGTATGCTAGCGCATTGGGTACCACCGTTAGAGAGAAGTAAATTCGCTGCTCTAGTATACGCAGGTAACTCTACAGTCTCTCCTTTTTCTTTCTCAATAATTTTTATTGAAGAATTTTATTAAATTTTATTTTATTTTATCAGATAATTTTTATAAAATTATTAATACTTTTGCAAAATATAAACCGCCCATCCCTGGTATTTACCGTTCAGACGGCTCACCGGCTTGGATATTAACAGATGTTCTCTCGATATTCCTTTCAGGCGCAAACTTTGGCACTGTCGTGTCGCTACCGGTAAGCGGCTGGCTGTGCTCTTTGGAATTATGGGGCGGCTGGCCCCTCGCATTTTACTTATTTGGTGGACTCGGTATTCTGTGGTACGTATTCTGGCTGATATTCATATACGACACTCCGGCGCAGCACGCAACGATCGATCCTTCCGAGAAGGCCTACATCGAAGCCTGTGTTGAAAAGAAAGACGAGGTCGGTATCGCTCTCAGGGCTCGGCTCCCTCCATTAGCCGAGGCTTAATATGTTAACTCGCTTGTACAAAAGAATCGTGTTAATGAATCCGACTCGGGTAAATGAGCGGGTAATCCTTACGATAGGACGACGACCCGGGAGTACCTTGGCTATCCGTCTTCAAGTCTCTACCGATGTGGGCGATCACTATCACGCAGTGCGGGCAATCCTGGGCATTCTACACTCTCCTGACCGAGCTGCCGACGTACATGGACAAGATTTTGCATTTGAACGTGCAGCAGGACGCCTTTCTGTCGGCGCTGCCTTATCTGAGCGCATGGCTGGTGGGCCTTGGCATATCGAGCTTCGCGGACGCCCTCCTCGCGCGTAACATGATATCGCCGTTGGCTTCGTTCAAACTTTGGAACACGGTCGCTTCGTTGGGGCCCAGTCTCAGTTTCATCGGTGCTATTTGGGCCAGATGCGATCGCATGACAGTGATGATGATGCTCGCCGTCTTGGGTTCCCTTCAGGGTGCGGTTTACGCCGGAAATCAGATGAATCATATCGCACTGGCGCCGCGCTACGCCGGCACTTTGTACGGGCTGACTAATGCCGCGGCGAACGCGTGCGGCTTCCTCGCGCCGTATGTGATCGGCAGTATAGTACAGGGACATGTTAGTACTTCTTTACATGCGTATATCTTTAGTTAAGGAAGATCTTTCATTTCGAACGGTCTCGGAAGAGACACGCGCATCTTCCTAACAATCGTCTTTCTTCGTATCGTTGCAGCAAACACTCGCACGCTGGCACACAGTTTTCTGGATGGCAGCTGGGATAAACATGGCCACCAATTGCTTCTACCTGATGTTCGCTTCAGCCACCGAACAACCATGGAGCAAAGGCGGCAGTTGATGACAATGCCGCATTAGACGCGCGATATTGAACGTGGAAAATAATATTCTCTTTAATCATGTTGCACATAGTACATTTTAATTCGGCTTTCTTCAAGAATTCGCAGCTCACCTCTCTCTCGTGTGTGATATTCGGTGTTCAGATATCGCCGAGATCATTAATTTAATTGATTTGACGTACTGATTTCTCGACTTGAAGTTTTTGTCTAGTACGCATGATTGAGCGAAATATGATAATGACGAGTGGAATTGAATTTCGACGTTATCAAGTCGAGTGCTGATACACACGCTATAGATATACGTCGATGAATATGGCTCTCTGCGTCAAACAATTGGAAGTGAACAACGTATCTTCTCCTTCCAGTTGTTTTGTCTGCCTACTGACTTAATTACGTCAGTTATTATATGACGTGCGTAAGTGAAAAAAAACTTTTACATTCCTAGGAACGAATTGGACGAACGAACAAACTGTGATATGAGACGCGATGCATGCGGAGAAATGGTATTTAATTTTTATAGATTTAATTTTAAACACGCCTCGCAATAGTACAACAGACAAAAACTTTAACAGTTGAAATCTGCAATATGTATACGTCATCTTTTTTAGATATTTTATGCGTATAAACATTCTGTACTAGTGACAGAAGTTAAAAAAAAAAAAAGAAAGCAATTGGAATTTGTTACTAATGTACGATGTTATTGGAAATTATATATATTAATATATTTTCCTATTTATAATTTAAAAGAGATATATATTGCCACGTCAATTATTTCGACATAAATTTATTACTTTGAAACGATGTATTACTTATTTATAATGCCAAAGGACGAGTAAGATAGATAGCTTCGATGTATATGTGAAGCTTACTCTAGTGTTGATGTATCATTAACTTATATATTTCTGACAGTAAAACGATGTGTAAATTCAAATAAACGATTTTGTCGTTGAAGAAAAAAATATCTATAATATATACATAATTTGTAGAAATTTTATTCTACATATTTGTAAGAAAAAAAGAGACAAGCAGAGATCATAAGCAATTGTACCTAGTATAACGAAAGCATAACATTAACACATCAAAATATAGCTTTAGCAATTGACAAGATCACTGTTGCTAATCGTAATGATGTGCATTGCATGCGTATTATACATTTTTAATCTGCTTGATAGTATTTTAAGAACGTACAAGGTTTTTGCGTAAACGAACGTTTTAATTTATGAAAAAAAATGTAAGAGAGTAATTCTTACACAGATGATTATACAAGTTTTATCCGAATGTAACGATCACGTTTAATGTGCAATGACCAAGAAGTGTACAATAATAATAATCAATATTGTTTATATATATACAATTTTTCATGGCATTTGTATTTCCCATTCCCTCAATAAATTTTTCACATTAAAATATGCATTGTGCAGTTTCTGTGTAGAGCGGTTTCTCTAAATTTACTGAGATACAATAATCATCAAAATATCCGTTGCCCCGTTGCGTTGACGGGATTTGAAAAACAAAGGATTTGTGAAAAAAAGGAAGGATAAAATTGCATTTACCAATTCATATACGCATTTATCACGTACATGCATTAGTACAAGTCCTAAATTGAAAAGGACGTTAGCTCGAATTTAAGTCGTCTTTTTTTTTAGCGGTAAGCTCGAAGATCATATCTCGCATGCGGCTCAAGTCAGTCAGTTCCGCTTTCATTCTTTGAATGTTCCCCTCTTTCTCCGATATGGTTTGCTCGTACATGTGCAACATTTGCGTCATTTGTTGGAGCTCTTGCTTAAGCGCGGATATATCTCTCTGATTCGTTTCAATCTCTGCTTTCTTCTTCTCTAAAATCTGTAAAGAAAAAAAACACACGAAACATTGAGATTTACATTATTCCTTGCGTTTCCAATGCGCAAAATGTCGTACCTGTTCCTTTTTGCTGAGAGAATCCTTCATCTTTTGCAGAGCTTTATTTAATTCACGATTCATGCTGCTCATATCCGTGGCTTTCGTCTCGGCGGTTAAACGTTCATTATCTAATTCCTGAACTCTCTTGTTTAATGTATCGATTTTATTATTACTGGCCTCCAATTCGTACGTACGTTGCACCAGCCTCTCGTTCAGGTGTTCCACGTTCGCCGATTTTTCCACCACGATTTTTTTCAACGACTCGATCTCCTATACGAAATACAAAACAATTGTGAAAATGATTGCAGTTAAGTAGAAAATTCAAAACAGCTACAGTTGCGTAACAGCGATGGTATGTACGAACCCTTTTTTTTATCAGAAGCGCCTTCTTGGATTGATCCTCCATCTCGCTGAGCCTCCCCGTCAATATAGTTTTTTCAGCTCTCGTCCCTTCCAAACACTGCTGAGTGTCGAACAAGAGTTGATGTAATCTACAAGACTCAGCTACCACTTGCGCCACTCTGTGCTGGAGACTGGTGGCATGATTATTCGCCGCTTCCAGGCTCGATTGCATCGCCCTTTCGGAATGTCTCATTGCTGCTAACTTTAATGAAGTTAGTTGCAACGTACAAATAGCGCCGATACAAAGTGAAGAACGGTGTGTGGAAAAATTGTACCTTGTACTCGTACAATTCCATTACCGCGGATGTCGGGATGTCGACGATCTGATTCGACTCGAAGGCCGATTTCAGCCTGGTCAGGAATGCGTCGAGACGTTCCTCCTGCGCGATCGAGAACAAAGGCGCCATTTCGTTGCCGGTGAAATTTACAGGCGCTTTGTTCGCGACATTTCCCAATACGCTGCTGCTGCTAGTATTCTGCACCAGCACTAATGGTTCTAACTCCTTCATGCAAAGTGCCACCGCGCTAACACTTACCGGACAGACACGTTGTGTTTCACGTAATTGTTCTACATTAAGTTCGGGAAAGGTTTTGACCGCACTTACCATTCCTGTGGGAAACCAACCGAAGATGTCAACTGCAAAACTTTCTGCTTCACCTCGCTATCGCCGGTGAACAATGCCAACGCCATTGTCGTTTGCACTTGTTTCCTACTGAGTAATTCGGAGTACAATGTTAGCCAATTGGAATGATTCGCTGCCAAGTCCGCTGTCAAGGCTAACGCGTGAATGTAAAGATTCATGGAAGCATTCTGCAACATTGGAAATGTATACTCAGCATGATTGTGTAACTACAGGTAGCACAGGTGGCAAATAATACCTGGATGAAGTTTCCAGCCCAGTCCCCGGCGGCGGAGAATTCATTGTTCAGCATGTGACTGAATAACCTGCGCATCTCGTGCTCATTGAACGACTGTGTAATCTTCTTCCTGAGCGGAGGACTCTTGATCATTTCTTGAAACAGTTGCATCAATTCGGCGTGCCTAGTTTCCGTTTCCGCGTTCCTGCTTCCATTCTGCTCGTTAACTCCCTCCGCCGGATTCGTCATGAGCGTGAGGACGGATGGGTCTAACTCTGTTAGAACGTCGATGGACGTTTTGGTACGTCGTGAGTCAATTATCACAGTTCTTATAAGTGCTAAAGCTTTAGAGGACACCTACAGTCAACAGAGGGACTCCGATTAAGTTACTGATAATTTTTTCCTTCCTGTATAAATCTCCAACACTAGAAATCGTATTAGCACGTTAATGAAAGATACGATTGTCGAAATTACACACTTGTTCCACAGGTACCCAAGTCATGGCTGATTTTATGCAAACAGGATATAAAGGAGTTAAGACAGATAACTTCAACTTCACCAACGACAACAGAAACTCCATCATGAGAGCGACGCATTCCGGGTCTGTATCCTCGTCCAAAATAGCTAATATATTCTCTACATCTTTCTGGTAACTAGTCAATAACAAAAATATATAATATGTTTATTATATGCATCACACTGTATGTCATGCGAAGATTTTTTATGCAAATCACTTACTTCGAATATGTAAGCAGCACATTTCGCGAATGTTCGTTTTGTCCGACATCATTGAAGAAGTCGATAATATGCCTCAATAATAAGACATCTTTCTGTCTCATCGCTGTTCTGAGATTGACAAAGGTCAACGACACAAAGTCCAGGATATATTTCTCAGAAATGTTTGTGTTGGTCGGTTCAAGTATAATCAAGAGTTTGCAACATTGCACACTGGTACTGAGATGATCTTGGAGCTTCAGTAACGTTCGAATGAACGCTTTAGTTTTGATGGTTCTCATCAGTGTATACACCGCCGGGAGATTCTTGTAACAGAGATTTACCAGCACTCCTAAGGAAAGTGCGATAATCTCTTCTTCCTTTGATTGTTCGACCCATTGAGTAAGTGTGGAAATTAAATATGGAAGGTGAGCTTCCTGCCACGATATTTTAATTCCATACGTTAACTCCTGAAGTAACTTCAAGACCCTTATTCTCTTTTCAGTTGTCAAATTTACCTATATGTAAAAGAAAAACATTTTTTAATATAATCTTTGTATAATTATAAGATAATTATTCAAGATAATATTAATTAGAGATATTTTTAGAAAAAATATATCTTTTCAAGAAGTTTGTGGTAACAGTCATAGAATACCAGTATTTCTTACCTCGAGTAACCTTGCTACTATCGGAGCAAACTTATAAGTATGAATAAGTGCTTGTCTAGCAGAAACATTCCGACAAGTATTTTGTAGGACATCTATGGCACTCCATATTAAAGTGGACCGTGATCCAAAGGAGTTCATAAGCTCGTATAAGCTCACGTAGAATTCTGCAGCTATACTAGTGCCAGGATCGAATATACTGAGATCCAACGATGCACTTATTACCTGAGAAACACAACTTTAATGTACAAAATATTATACTTCACTAGTGATCACTGTGCAAAATGTGTGTATGTGTGTGTATACATCACTGCAAAATAAAATCACATTAACACCACGTGTTTTTTGTATTTACCCCGAGACTCCTTTGTATATCGGACGTAGCGTTTTCATTGGGATGCTTGCTGTAATCCACAGCCGCCGATATGAACGTTCTCATTTGCTGGTATTTCTCCATTCTTCTTTCCATCCGGGTATTTTGCGACGAGAAAGATTTGACAGATTTTTCCGCACGAATCGAGTACGCGTATATGTATGCGCGCAGCCGGGAAACTCAAGAATTTATCACGAACAGAGACGACGAGCCACACGCTGGGATTCAACGCGCAACGAGAAGAATCGTTCCGTCGAAATCAACATCGAGACTCGCAGCTCGTAGAAAGGTGCATATTGTGATGGCCGGCGACGTAAACGCGTCTCCGCGTCGTAAACAGACCCGTCAAACGGTACGTTGTGTGGCGGACGAACGCCCATTTTTAAAGGCGATTCAAACCGACCAATCATGCGCACCGATCATCGCATGGACCAATCAGACGAACGGAGTCAAGTGTCATTTCCATGCGACCGCAGCTCGCGCGTATCATCCACCTGCGTCGGCTCCTATTGGCCGGATCCGTCGTACGGCGACAGATGGCGCTTCAGGCGCGTCGCGTCGTAGATACGCCTCATAACAAGTCATCGTGTCCAGATTGCTTCCTATTTGTCCGTAGTGGTCGGTACGTATACGCTCGTGAATCGTGGGGAAGAAGAAAGCCCAAATCGGGACGAGAGTCTCTCGCAGCAATATCCGCCGAGATTCGCGTTCGCCCAGCATCGCCGTTCGAGCCGTCGCGTGATTCGCGACGCCGATCGAGTAGTCGCGCCCGCATCGCCGCCGCGACCTTCGGAAACGAGGCAGAACGAACGGCGAAAAGTGACGCAGCACCGTATGCACCGCGCGTGTCGGTAATCTCTTTCCCTTTCTCTCTCTCTCTCTCTCTCCCTTCTTCCCATCTCTCTCTCTCTCTGTCTGTCTCTCTTTTTCTGTCTCTCCCTCTCCGACAACGGTGTGTCAAAGTTCCGACCGCTGCTCCTCGTCGTCGTTGTCATCATCGTCATCATCATCGGTACCTGCGATGGTATCGTCGATGTAGGTTACAAGAAAGAAGCGACGAACGATCGGGCTGCCGCTGATCGGCTGGGAGTGTAGCGAAAGCGCGACGAGACACTGCTCTCGAACGTGCGCCTCCTCCGAGGAAACGGTATCGAGTGCGAGCGAGCGAGCGAGAACGAGATAGAGAGAGAGAGAGAGAGCGCGAGGGGACGAAGTGCGAACATTAATTTCTCCCGGATCGCGGTGAACCGTAGCCAGGAAGAGGAGCCTGGGATAATCGCTGCCGCGTGTCGTCGTCCCCCCGTGTAACCTCGACAGCGGAGCTGTCATAAATGTACACGTTCTACGTAGACTGCGCGATCTATGCTCGGCCAACAGCGAGCCGATCCAGCGGAGGCAGTGAGTGATCGTGCCTGACGCGCGACAGTGAATCGACGTTAATCATCGTCGCGCGACAGTGTTGCGCGCCTGTCGTCGTCCTCATCGTCGTCATCATCATCACCGTCGTCTCCACGCACCGTCGTCCCACAAGCCGACAGTCAGCCAGCCAGCGTACGGCGTTCCTATTTAACGGCGAACTTCCTGACCCAAGCAGGTTAAGCATACTCTCTAATACCCGTGATTCCCAACTTGGCAGGTGTCCGTGCTCTCTCGACCGAGAGCATGCGTGAGAGAGCGAGCGAGCGTACGATATAAGAGAGATAGAGAGAGAAAGAGAGAGAGAAGAGAATTGCTAAATTATCCCAGAGATACAAGAGAGAGAGACAGCGCGCTGATGTGTAGTAGGAGAAGCTAACAGGAGGATGTTTACACATCCGAACGGGCGTCGATAGCGCGTGCACCGTGTCACCGAGACATGTTTCCCTGGGAGGAGAACAGCGTGCTCTAGTTTTCCAGGGGAGTCCGATATATATTTCGAATTTCCTTGCTGACGTTTCACGGGCGGTGACAAGTGCTCAGGGCTGTAACAATCGTGGCGCATCGTTCACTCCCTTTATTCATCTCTGCTCTCTTTCTTACTCTCTCTCTCTCTCTCTCTCTCTCTGCCACCCGTTCGCTCGCTCTCTCCCTCGCACTCCCTCCGTTTCTTCACGATCTTTTTCCGCTATCTCGCACCATCTCTCTCTCTCTTTTATTTGCACACATACGCGCTTGCGCGAGTGTACACACGTACACGCACGCACGCACGCCATGTACACGCACATATATACGCGACATACTGCTCTCTCTCTTTCTCTCGCTCGCTCGCTCTCTCTCTCTCTTTCTTTCTTTCTTTCTTTCTTTCTTTTTCTCCGTTCCTTCTTCACGGTGCATCGATGCGCCGTTTTGAACGGTTTCTCATGATTTTTCGACAATAGTCGCTCCAGCCAAGGTTACTACGAGTGTTACCGATGACGTAGATGATCCGCGAATTTTTCTATCGCCGTGAACGCACAGTAGAATATATAACACACCGAGCAGTCACATAGAGCGCGCGAGCGAGCGGAGCTCGTCGGCCCTTTTCACGAGCGTCGCACGAATCTCGTGATTTGTCGTAAAAGCCGTCAACCCGCGGGTGCATCGCTCTCCCCGCGAGCGTTGTTCCCGTAGCTCTCGCTCTTTCCCCCAGCCCGGTTGATGAAACGGCCGTTTCAATCCTGTCGGCGATATCGCCTGGCTGAGGGAAAAGAGTGATGCGGGAAATACGCATTTGCTCGCGTTAGTGAAGACTAATTGGATAATATAATTAACAGTGCTGGGGTCTTAATGGGTTAAAAAGACTGCTCCTTGTTTCCCAAATAGTCAGCCACTTTGTCGAGGCGGTGAGTTCGTAAGTAATCGCTGATCCTCCCGCGACTTCGGTCAGCTATTATCCTAGCTTAATTAATCACCGTGCGAATTAGGAGCGCGACTCCGTTTCCGGTTCATTTGTCTCAGATCGCCGTCCCCGGCCATGTGTATGCGTGTGCATTTTTATGCTTCTTTCATATTTCGACGTATGCTTCTTTCCACTTTCGTCCTGCAATCTGTATTTTTCTGGGGATATCCTTATCTTATCACTCGCGCATTCGTATTTCGTGAAAGTATCTTCTCCCGAAGTGATTCTGCCCCCTTACATGTTTTGTGTGTGACAACCGTTTCCAGTCGACTCCTCTCTCCGAAGCCGGTTTTTCGGTTTTTTATCTGCTTTACTTTACACATTTAGTTGGAATGCACTTGATAAGCAAAGTACTTTGTAATTTAATGACGTTAGAATTGCCTAATTAATGTGTGCATGAAACAATGTCTTATCTGCCGTATAAAGTTTCAGTATAAATAGACACATTTATCTGTTGAATTGGGCTCTAGCGAGCGACTACAATTGAAAATTATAAGATCTCGCTGAAATACGGATATTGTTAATTTGAAATTTCCTCTGATTACACAGAATCACCGTAAAATGTATTTGTTTTCTACTGAAAAATAGATATTTGCAATAAGAACGTTGATCAGCGAGGAAGTTTTATTTGTTCTATGCCATGTACATGATATGAAATGCTTTATTAGAAAATGTCTTTTATTTTTATCTAACATTTTTAAATCTCCTTTATTTTTATCTAATCGTATCGAAGATACATATAAAGTTACATATGTACAGGGTGAACCACGCAACGTGATCAGCTTAGTTTGTTTTGCTGTTAGTGGACTGCTTGTAAATTTTTTTGTCCAATATAACATGGTTTAAAGTGAGCTTTAAGATGATCTCAATGCTCCCTTGAACCATGTTATACTAGACAAAAAAATTGTCAAACAGTCCAACTGCAAGATGAATCAAAATTAAGACATAAATTTTGCTTCTAGGTGATCATGGCGAATCGGGGTACAGCTCAAAGGCCAAATGGATCGACGCAAGGAAAAATCTGTCAGTTTAAGTTAGTTTTACTTGGCGAATCAGCAGTTGGGAAGTCGAGCCTTGTTTTAAGGTTTGTCAAAGGACAATTTCACGAGTATCAGGAGAGTACAATCGGCGGTAAGAACAATCACAATTATTCCTCGTTACTTTTGTATTTAGCGAAGCATAAATAAATTCGCCCATTTTAGTTTTTCAATAGAGCCATAAAAACCGTAGGGTCCTTAAAATATGTTTTCTCTTGTTTCAAAAATAGAAAGCTCATCACATATGTGGTCTGTTCTTTTTAGCTGAACTGGCTACACTAGTTCAAAAAATTTACATACACATTGAAGTCTGTGAAGCGTACGTATGAGATTTTCATGTTTCATAATACATGATACATAAATTTCTTGAACTAGTGCAACCAGTTTAGCTGGAAAGAATGGATCAATTGATGCAGCAAGCAGAAAACTTTGTTGCTTATGCGACAAATAGATTCATGTATAAATATATATAATCCTTGTGCATTAATTTTTTTATATCGTTTTTTACATTGTTTAATAATTATTTTTGTTACTTTTCTCTATACTCTCTATATTAATTATTTTCACTACATTTCAAATGTTATTACTTCCAGCTGCATTTTTAACGCAAACTGTATGCCTGGATGACACAACGGTAAAATTTGAAATTTGGGATACCGCGGGGCAAGAGCGTTATCATAGTCTTGCACCAATGTATTATCGTGGTGCACAAGCAGCCATTGTTGTGTATGATATAACAAACCAGGTGGGTTAATTTAACAATTCATGTGAGTATTTAAGAGGATGGTTAATTTAAAAGGAACCATTGTCCTTTTAAATTAAAATTATAATCAATTTAACGTAGAGAAATAGTAAAATTTGAAAATAAGATTAAAAAAAAATAGTTTGTAGCAGAAATAAATCTATATATATATGAATATATAGCTGCATAATACATAATACATACTGCACTAAATACATATGCGTTCACTTTTTATTCGATCAGGATACATTCTCGCGCGCCCAGACATGGGTGAAGGAATTGCAGCGCCAAGCCAGTCCAAGCATAGTAATAGCATTAGCTGGAAACAAAGCAGATTTGGCAAATAAAAGAGTCGTCGAATACGATGAAGCTCAAACATACGCAGATGAAAATGGCCTTCTTTTCATGGAAACATCTGCTAAGACGGCGATGAACGTCAATGATATATTCCTTGCAATTGGTGAGCTACTTTATTCCTTCTTAACGCTTGATTTTACGCAAGTAACGTTAATTTTCTTAAATTATAAATATACCCGTTATTTTTTTTGTTCTTTTCACAAGTTCTCAGCTGAATAATTTTTTTTTGCCTTTTCGCCTCTGAAATGTACATTTTGTGCTTGATAATGCACACGTACGATCAGAAACGCTGTTTCTGTCTTGTGTTACATGTTATCGTTAATCAGAATGCTTGCTAACTGGTAATTCTATATCTGCTGATAGTACGTTACACAGCGAGAGAATCATTTTTTGGCAAGTGTTAACATCGAAAAAGTATCGAAATATATTTACATAATTTTTCTTCACATAGCAGCAAAACCTTGACAATGTTAAGTAGCAAAATAATCTCTTCTTTTTTTGCAGCTAAAAAACTTCCGAAGAACGAACAATCGGGAAGTGCAAGTACGAGTGGTCAAGGCCGTCGATTAGTTGAGTCGGATGGGCAAAAGGCAGCAACCGGCAATTGCTGCAAGTGATTATCTAAATCCGTATGTGTCTCACAATATATTCGTATATCTATTTTTACATTATTTGAATATACTATCTTTAAAATTTATTAAATTAAAATGAGAAACAGAGAGAGAGAGAGAGTGAGAAAGAGAGAGAGAGAGAGAGAGAGAGAGAGAGAGTGAGAGAGAGAGAGAGAGAGAGAGAGATAAAGATAGAGAGACATTTATTCCATTCTGAGGAGCCCAGGAAATATTTGATATGCCTAATGAATGTGTTATGAATCAAACACGTTCGGTGTAATAACATATTCACATATTTTTATAAATATTAAATATATACAAAGAAACGAAAGAGCGATCCAACAAAAAAAAAGGGGGAACGGGAAAAATATCGATTTGATATTATGTAGAATAGATATTTGCACCTTGAAAATGCTTTTAGCGGATTTTTTGTATTAGTATCGTACAATGGGATATATAATAGTAGTTATAAACAGTTCGGTAGATTATATCTCTTGTTATGTTTAATATTTTTTTTTATTTAGCATATATATTCAACTCGGCTCTTTTGCCTTCTTTATATTTATTGGAATATAAAGGAAATAGGCCGAAATGTGGCAGGCTGGGGCTAAATAAGGTGAAAAGCGCGAATTGAAAGTAAGATCTAATAATCGATAGTGTATCGTGACGCGCAATGACATAATCAATTCTGCACGAACAAAACGAAGTAAAAAGAAAAGGGCAAGAAGATATATTGATACGTAATACTGTCGAAAGACGACGTGCGTTAATATATAGCAATTCATGTATATGACCATCAAATTTATAATCCGCATGATATAAATATATCTACAATGTTTTGCTGTACAATATATTTAGCTAGGCATTGGCAGTCTCTTGTAATGAAAAAGTGGTTCACGTCAAGTATATACGTGAAGAGGAAATCGTTTTAAAATTTATGATATTTCCATCTCAATGATGTATCTGTATATTTATTTGTTCTTGAAAGTTTTTCTTTAACAATTGTTATATCTGTTTGAACTTATCCGATGTATTAACTTTTAATATAGCAATTCTTCGTATGATCAAATGAATTCCTTGCAATAATTAAATCTATAGCAATATAATATTATTTCTTTGTTTTGCTGCATTTAATAATATTATACGGTTTCGTTGTTATAAATCGTTCCTTTGTTCCTTGAGTAGCGATCCTTTCGTATTCTTCTAGTATATATTTATACTAGATTTAAATATAAATATTGACGTTACTGCGAAAGAGCTTTGTTAAAATCAAAGACTATTATTTGTGCATGAAAAAAAAGACCGTAGTCCATGTGATACGAAATGTATCTGAAAGCATATTATTATTTTTCTACTAGTATTCTCTCTCCTGTGTTTTATTGTATATTATTAACGGTTGATAGATGCATTATTCGAAGATTCGAGATAAAAAGGAAATTAGCACTAAGTATGCCTTAATTGTAGGCATATCGTAGTGTTTATACACACAACAACAACAACAACACATACACACACATATTATATATTATATATAATGCTACATACACATACACACATGTTTGTAGATATTATGAACTTGTAAAAATTCTCCTCTTTCGATGGATTATCCGTTTCCGACTGACAAAGGTGCTATATGAGAATACATGTGCATGATGCATTATGCAAGCTTGTGAAAATTGTTTCTTGTGATTTATGGTATCTCACACTCCCATCCTGTGTGCAATGATTCTTATATATTTGGATTATATTTGAAAAATATGTTATAAGGGGCATAACAATAGGATGAAGAAGTAAAGCTGTTTAAAATTATTGCAAAAAAATTCTCAGGGTATATAATCTTTCCTCCACGACATACATATATCTCTGATGTCATTGTATTTTAGTTATATATTTAATCTTATTTCCACACGATGATATATTCTGTTGAAAATAATATAGGTTCTATATTCCTATGTATAGAGAAGTTCTTGACATTTGCCAGGCGAATAAAATGTCTATAGTAGTTACATCTTATGCATTGTAGATACTCTACAACAAATGTAATACAGTACATGATGGAATTGTACGTTCTGACTTATTTTCCTTTATCGTCTCGTTACACGTATACACACGTAACGGTAAAGATTATCTTTCGTGCATACGTTTGTAAACAGTACATTAGCATCACATGTTTGAGCTATCGGCAACAACACTTTTAGTCACAAATACATACATCTATTCCGCTCATAAGAACCATTTTATGTTTCTATCGAGAAATTAGTTATTTTCCAGAGATCCCTTGAATTAAATTAGGTAAGTCTTGAGTAAATTGTAAATAGCATAAATGCATTATTTGTGCGTATCATTTCGCGAGAATTCATGTCACGAGATGTAACTCGTCGATGGAATTTTATACTATCACTGTGAAAAAAAAGACACCTGTCGATGTGTTATTACTTATAATTACATGTTATAAGTAAACCTGCCTTCATGCATATTTAAAGCAATACTGCAGTAGACGCACTATCTATTTCTGATTACAGATATGTACTATAATCTACAAAAATAGGCACACCATAAGTGTGCCACAATGAATTTGAGAGGAAGATACACACACTCCTGAGGGGAAAAACACTATACAGAATGGGAAGTGAACTGTGCACGGGACATTCGCAAACATTTGCTTGAGTGATTGACTAAAAGCCTGCGTCTCAATGTAATCGACGATATATCATCTATTTTGAGTATCAGATCTTTAAGAGGTGGTAAAAGAAACAAAAAGCTCCCATTTGTAATTCTAGTAGTGTAATGTGGGCGGTGTTCGTTATAAATATATAAATATATATATATATAATAAAACATATATATATATAAATATATATATATATATAAAAATATACACACACACACATTATATATTATAAATCATATAGGTAAATATGATTTATGTAATAAGTAATGTGCTCTAATGATAATAAATAATAATATTAATAATAATTAATAATAATACCGTTAATATTATACCATAAATATTGATAATAACAGTACGTCTAAAATATGCAACATCTAATGAATTTTTGGCACGCAAAGATCTTGTAAGATAGGAGAGGCTATTCCTGCTGCTATTACTATGTATTTTCCTTTCTTAGTTTGTAACACGTATAATATTTCTTGCTCTAAAATATATTGTATATTAATTTTATTGACAACTCATAAATGAATTATAAATGATCACACAGCAAAAAGGAATAAACTTGTGAATATTGAAAAAATGGCTCTTCATAATTGCCTATTTATTCGACTAGAGTTCTATCTATATAGAAAGATGGTTCACTTGTACAAATTTTGATAGTTTATTGCTTTACATATGTTAAATGTGTATGCGTTCATATCTCCGTTCATGTAAAGTACTAATAAGCATTGGAAAGATATTAACTCTATTTTGTCGATACGTCGTCCACTTATATATTCACTTGGTATGTATATACATATATCGAATTTTAATTAATATACTTCTGCATTCAGTAAATATGTTACGTAGCGTTATCTACGTTTAATCACGTTACGAAATGTCCAAGTACAGTATAGAAATGAGCGACGTATTTAACAAGTCTGATAAAACGAATGCGATAATAGATATAAAACAGCAGCTTTCTATCTGAGTGCACAATACCGGATGATAAAGCGATTTCACTCAGGAAAATACGCTCTGAGCCTGGATCCGAAAGCGATGTGGGTTACGACGATATATATGCGGACCTTGGAAATTTTGACGATGTACCAATGTCAACGCAATTACGCGGTATCTTCTTCGACATTATGTGTTCCGAAATTAATAACGAAGCCCCGAAGATGTAACCTTACATGAGAGAACAGCAAGCTGGGAAATTTATTTCGCTATTCCTCGGTAAACGTGCACTTTACTCGAATTGTTAAAATCGCCAATAACTCCTAACATGTGATGGAAAACTTACATCCTTTATAAGCAGTTAACACGCAAATAAAATGTCTGTTGTAATTTATTGTATTTATATCGCACCTACCAATCTATATTTCACACATCTTCTTTCAGAGGGGAAAATTCTACGCGATGTATCGTACGAGGATGGAAAAGCAAGAGATGAGAAATCGGGAGACTCGTGGAACTTTTGTGGCAAACTTTTACATTTTTCAAGTATAAATATACATGAAATATTTCATGTTCTCTTACGTATATATATATTATAATATAAAATATATTAGATTCTTATTCCAAAAATACATATTATACATGAGATAATTTAGAGTTCATAGAGAGAGAAACATAATTTTCCAATTTTTAATTTATATTTCAAAGAGAAACTATTCACCGATCGTCATATTTCAACAGTCCTAGAATTAATGCCCTCGACTCACCGTTTTTATCTCGCAAACTATTGGAACACAGCTGAACACACAAATATTTCTTCGAGCAAGCTTTCCTATATACCGTTATGGTAATTAAATATTAATTTAGAATATACACACACACACACACACACACGCGTGTTAAAAATAATACAAATATATGTTCAATGTGTATTTGCAATAATTCTAGGATCTATCCGAGTGTGTAGATATATTCGCACCAAATGAAGCTAGAGTGATACTTGAATTCTTCCGCCAAGTATATCTGGAAAATCTTGTATTGTTGCATCTCATTTACACGACTCATTATCGTATCGTTGGGCGATTTGATAATCGGCTATAAATAGATACGTTTGTACAAATCAGATTTTAGAGAAGAAAACGTCTATTTCTATCTGAAACCAGGGTATATTCGACAATACAAGATATAAAATAAGATCCCATGCGAAGGAAATAAGACACGGCACGAACCAACATACATTGCATTACAAATTTGACACGATTGACAGTATTCAATACAACGTCGAACTTCTCACACGCTGTTTCTTCAGTCTTTTAATCAAAATCGAATTAAATCTTTTCTGGATCGAATTAAAGCTCTTCTTCCTTATTTACTCGTAGAAGACTGGTAACCGTAATCGCGGCTCTCTTCCAACGAAGTGTCGGATTCCGTCTCGTTGTTGAAGTGTTGACTCCACCGTTGATGGCTCTTCCGCACCTCGTTTGTTAAATCTTCCATTTTGGGAAACCACCACGAATCGCCCGAGATCGATCTACATCGATTGGTCTTGATCGGTTCTCTATAACATTTCTGAAAACGAAGTATATTTTATAATGTTATTTATGTTATTATTTTATAATGTTGTATATTATTTTATAACGTTAAGGAAAATGGAATCGTCTATATAATATCCTAATTATATTAGGAGTATAAATACAGTCTGTTTAGTAAGAGCGTGTCCGGCATAACTCGAAAACCATTTATTGTAATGAACTGAAAAAAAATACACAAAAAACATACCATTTGGTAAGAACCGTGATGTTTTATTATTAATAACTTATCCAGTCGCTTCCATTATCAATAATTGCCTGGCATTTATAGACAATTAATGCCCGTCGAGATGATGTGTTCCTCAGTTCACTTTACATCTTACAGATGGCAAAAAGTGGTAGATTTGAACGACAGATGCTTCAATTGAAACGACTGTGCCGTTTCTTTCGTATTAATAAATATGTTTTCAGACAAAAAAAACCGCGAGAATTTATTTATACTCCTGAGGTTTATTTTTTTGTTCCTGCACTGACTGCACCAGTCAAAGTGTGCGTTCCGATATTCACTGTCAGTGTACTCCAAATCTATAGTTTGTGTTATATATATTATAGATTTGCAGTACGGCAGTGAATATCGAGACGCCTCCTTGAACTAGTGCAGCCAGTGCAGGAACAAAAAAGAAACTCTCTGATATATCATGAAATATTCTCTACAAGTACCCCAACCTTGTATACATTTGTGTAGCTTGAATTTGGGACTAGACCTGTGCCTGCATTTTCATTCACATCCGATGGCGAGATGTAACCGTTGACAGGCACTCTCTTGAAACTCCCACCGCTCAGTTGCTTGTGCGTTCTCCTCCGTTTGGCCAGTAAATTAATCCGTTTCAATTTCTTCATCTTGAGTAGCAAAATTCTAAAAAAATGAGTTTCGTTTAAACAGACAGATATATAAAGGACATGCATGTATAAAGGACACTGTAGCAGGAAATTGTATTTCAAGTACATGTAAATGCACAAATCAATTACTTGTTCTCAAATGCAAGTTGCATTATATAACGTTGCTTGTTTTCGAGATTCTTAGTTAAGTTTTCAATATATCGTTTCTGTTGGTCCATGTAATCCCGTATGCATGAAACTATATGTTGTGATTCCTTGCAGAGCTCCGATCTGCTCACAGCTGCCTCGGTTAAGTCAGCTGACATGTACATTAGAGATCGCTCTTTCAAATAGCACTCCTTTTCCAACTCGAGCAGAGATTTACGCATACTTTGTAACTGTAATGAGAGTGAGAGAGAGAGAGAGAGAGAGAGAGAGAGAGAATACAATAATTCAATACTGAATTCCAATAAATGTGATATAGATCATATTAAATCGAAAAATTTACGTCTACAGCATACCAACGATGACAGTTAACAAAACATCTGAATTATTATTATTATTAATTATGTTTATTATTATTTATTGTTATTATTATTATTATTATTAATTATGTTTATTATTATTATTAATAATTATTATTAATTATGTATCCATAAATTAAGAATGAGAATATATCGTGTACCTCAGTCATACATGTGGAATTATTTTCTTTAAGTGAAATGTTCTGCCGGCCGAGAAGGTAGTTTTCATCCATGTAAGTCTGCAATTGTTGATTCAATCCACAATTTGTACTTTCAGCCTTCACTAATTTCTCCTTTTCCTCCGCAAACTAAAAATATTAATAATTTTATATCTCATAAAACATATAGTTATGACAACAGTTCATTTATAATTTTTCTCAACATTCTCTAGTATATTTGCAATAAAATTATTAAATGGTACACATACCTCTTGACGTATAACATCCAACTGATCGGCATAATTTTTGCACTTATCTTGCAGTTGGAAGAACGCGATGTTCTTCGACGTAAGTTCCTTTTTCGTCTCCTCCAGTTCTCCGCTCAGGCTATTTGCTAAATCACGAAGACTAATCACCTCATTATCTAAATTTGCAATTTTGGAGCAATAATTTTTCTCCTAAAAACAACACGTACAATTTTAGAAACTAACGCACGATAAAATTTCTATTATATAACAATATTTGTACCATAATCATTAGCGATTCTTGCGAATCAGCTTCTCGCGTTGTTGCTAACAAAAGTTTATCTTGAGCCTTATTGAAATCTTCAGTTACTCGCTGATAATTATCTTCCGTCTGGCGCAATTTTAAGCGGGTCTCTTTGAACTAAACAAGTTTCCAAGAGATTAATTATTAAGTATGTAACATTCTTAACAAATTTTCAATAAAACATTATATGCATCTCACCTTTTCCTTTAACTGAATGATATTATCTTTAGCTTGATTCTCAATAATACTATTCTGACTTTTTAATATAGAATTCTCATTCTGAAATGCAAAAGCGTGATTAACAAATACATATTGCTCTCTATTAGTTCTAATATGCATTAAATATTAGCACAATTAACGGTATACACCTCAAGTAACTTATAATCGGCCTGCAATTTAACCATACAATCAGATTTCTCCCGAAATAGAGTTTTCAACGAGTGTATTTGGTCGCATAAAATACTCAGCATTGCGTGCTCCGATGCATTCAATTGGGATAAATCATCCTCTACTTGTTGATTCTTCATGAGAAATCTATTCCGAAGCGCTTCAAGTTCATGAGATTGGTTCCTAACGATTTCCTCCTTACTAGTAATTTGGCCATTGAAGTTCTCAATCTACAAATTTTTTAAACAACGTTAATAAATTACAGTAATAAATATCAGTTATTTTATTGTAATCACCTCTCTCTCTCCGTTTTCCAATTGTGATACGAGTTCTTTATATTCGGTCTCTTTCTGTTTGATATGTTCTACTTTCCTTATCAAGTTCTCAGTTTTCGATATGTGATGTTGCAAGTCGGTTTTCAGTTGTCGATTCTCACATCTTAAGTCGCATTCAATATTCTTCATCTTCTGCAATTCTTCCTTTAATCGTTGAATTTGACAGATATTCTCCATCTCCGCCACTTCACCTAAGACGTCAAATGCTTGAATTGCACTAACATTCTGAAATTTCTGAAATTTCGATTCATTTTTTTGCAGATCTTACCTGAATATCTCCCCACATGTGATACACAGCGTGAAAAGTACTCCAGATCCTCAGAATCGGTGCTCTTCTCTTTAGAATATATCGCGCACGAACAAGCACTATTGAAAAATTTATTTCAATATATATCTGTAGAATATATATATGCGAATAACGACAAGTTGAAATAAAGGGGATACGTTACTCTGACTGTTCTAACTTCTGCTCGGTACAACTGATCGTTTCCTTCGTGTTTTCGCATTCACATTTAGAGGTATTCTTTGCCTGTACGAAATATCCCATCTGTAACAAGACATATTTTGGAAAATCGAGACAAACGCTCCACCATCGACATGGATAAAACCAAGTAATATAAATTTCTAGTAACGTACCTTACACTTCAGCGCTTGAAAATCCTTTACGTGACCATGTATTTGTTCCTGAAAAAAAAAATGAAAAAATCGGACAATGTGGCTTCCATAAAAGATCGGTCTCCTTTTTAGAGAATCTTTAATACGAAATGTATATAATATTACCGCTACTGTAAAAGGCATGCTACTTGTTCGTTATGTCACATTTATTTATTGAAGGTGTACACGACTATTTTAACTATTTCGGTCGGTGCTCGTGCAGATTGTTTAAAACATGAAGACTATACCATACCTGTATTACATTCAAAATCGAATAATACATCGTATGCAATATAGTAGCGCTCAAGTATTTATCACACTCCAGAGAACGAATTCTTCTATGCAGACTGTCGATAGCATCCCGTTGCAGGTCCAATAACAAATCCTGGTTGGTTGCCTTTACGAAACACAAGGAAGTATATTGAACGTATGCATTAATTATTCTACAATCCAGAAATTTGTTCAGTAATTTCCACATGAATAATGTCTATACGTACCTCTGTAAAACACTCGTTGTACTGCTCTTGCGTCTCGTCAATGCACATCACCAATCGGCGAATAGTCTCGTCTTTCTCGCAGAGCTGCAAAAGTACTCGAATTACATTTATCGCAGCGTTCGTCTTCTTAGATTCATAAGCGGACAACACTCACGTACAGTACTCGTACAATGCTTTATGTTATCGTGTTAATTGCATAACGGCCACAGCTCGATCATCCAGGGCACTTTGTTAATCCAAACAGCGCACGTTGCATTTGTACATGGCACAATGTCTCGTCACTTTTCAAGTACGATATACATACATATATATGTACACAGATACGACCAATGTCACGAAAACATCAAACGATTCAACGTCAGTGTCACACAAAAAAATTAAACTGAGCACACGCCATGCATGATATTCGTTACATTCGTTGCATTGGCAATGTCGCGACGGTAAAATTATCAAAGGCAGAGAAGAATATAATAATAGTAATAGTCTGCACCTTCGACGAGTCATATTTTTAATAATCACTGATTGGCATTATTTACAACTGTTGTCGCAATCAATATATATATATATATATATTCTGGCGCGCAAAAAAAGCTAAATAGCAATTTTAGTCTATTCATAATTCACATTTAAACGTCATGCACGTTTCTACGACTGAAAGTTGAAGACGATATCGTGGGCCTCAGTTCACTCACATCACTCATCGCCTTGTGTCCCATTTGGTCCAAGTTTCTCTTAGCTTCGACGACAGCATTTTGTAAGTGCCCGATCGTTTGAATTTGAAGTTCATTCTACAAATTATATCGCAATGCGGAGTGTATATCTTATTAAACAGTTGAATGGGAATGATAGAGAAAAGGCGCAAACCTGTTTCAGCAATTCGTTCTTCTCTCTCTCGTATTGTGCGATAGTAAGGCTTTGCTTATCAATCTGTAATGAGATGTTATTTCATATTTCTAATAATATAATATTGAGAAAAGGACATACCTTGGGATTTTGTTCTTGACAAATAGATGAACTTTATAATACTTGCTTTTATAACTCAGACATTGTTTAAAAAGCGACAATATGAAATACTTGCATTATTCACTTAAAAACGCGCGTCATTATACGACAGTTAAAATTCTAATTAAAAATTAGAAAGCATGGCACAGAGTAGTAAATATAAATTATTATGACTACGAATAACGCATTATATAATATCATACAACTTTTTCCATAGCTCACCTTCTCTTGTAGTTTTTGATGCAGATCTTTCACTTCGGCTTGGCTCATTTTTAAGGAATCTTTCTGTATTTGTACGACTTTCTCCAGATTCTCTAACTGCACGAAGAATTTCGGCCGTTTAAGTTATGCTTGATAACACGAGTGCCGTATTTTTCTAAATTAATGCAAGAATGTAGATAACAATAGACGACAACTCACGAGTTTCTCTTTGGAGTACACGGCACTTTTCAGCTTGCTTAACTCATCAGAACAGGTGTCCAGTTTTTTTCTACATATTTCCAACGTCTCTATCAGCGTCACAACAGATCTTGTCGAAACGGAGGATTGAGGCGATTCATCGCATATCTGTAAATAACAATGTTACATTTATAATAACAGGAAAGAGAGAGAAAAAGGAACGGAGTGATATGTACAGACCAATCTTTTAAGTTCACTTTCTAAATCCTGAACCGTCAGTTTTGCAGACTGCACTGCATCTTGCAACGTTTTGAACCAGTGAGACACATTCTGCAGCAAATGAGCGAAAGACAGGTCAATATTAAGATTCTATTTACAAGAATTGATGGGCAAATGTCTGTGATTGTAATCTAATTAAGAGTCAAACGGTACCCGTTGAATTTATGTAAACAATAGTTACCTCGTGTTTGGATGGATAGTCGCAACGTAAAAGCGTCTCTTCTGTGCCATGATCCGTGCGCTTTTCCATGAAAATAATATGTTACATTATAGCAAAAATGTATAAAGAAACAACTATTTAAATATATATTTGTACGATTAATCAATTGTGATATTACTTACGAAAGTATTTGAGATTTCGGTACATTTCTTAACTTCTTTTGATTCGTTATTTAGACTTTCTCGCAGATCGCTCTCTATTTCTTTCTGTATTCTGACCTAAAAGTCGGGATTGCGAGATTAACACAAGCACGTAGATAATTTTGAAGATGTATAAAAAATTAATCAAGTAAGTAAAGTAATAAAGTAAAATAAAATAACTTACGGTATTCTCGAGTTCTATTATTTTTTTCCTCAATTCCATATTATCTTTACTCTGACACTGCCTGTAATTTTCTGCCTTCGTTCGTACGTTCGTCAGTTCCTTTTCGCTAGATTGGATGCTGTTCTTCAAGAAATTATTGGCTTCTTGTTTACATTTTACCTGTTGCGAAAGAATGTAGCTATGTAGCTCGAGAAGTAAAATACACGCCGTTAATCGAGCAATGTTGTAATCACCTCATGCTGCAACACTCTAATTTGATCCTCCAAATCCGCCACGCGATTTTTCCACTTGCTCAGCCTCTCATCATATTTCGCTTGACACGCTTGCTGTAAACGTATGCATATAATTAACATATAAATTATCAATAAATAATTTACGCGTAACATTTATTACATATAATCATATCTAATTTTATAAGACACAAATCAAAGAATCTACATATTTACGTACCTGTGCCATGCTAAGTTTCAGATCGTCGTATTCTTTTCTTAATTTATGTAGATCTTCTTTCGTTTTTATTACATCATTTACTTCCTGTAAGATAGTACATATGTATAATTTTACATATATAGTTGCATTCACATATCATAAGTTAAAAAAGAAAAAAATAAGTTGTTACAGTAATCGTACTGGTTAATACCTGATTGTTAAAGTGAGGGAACTGCTCCTACAACACGATAACATTCATCGTGTTACTAATTTCTATATCGGTCTATATACTTATTATATTTTTAAACGTGAAAAATACGAATACACAACAACCTTTTCTTCTTGTTTCGTGGAGAGGAAAGTTTCCAAGACGTCCTGCATTTTTGTATGCGCGCAGTCGACTTCCTCCTCGAGCTTAGCCAATCTGCTCTCCTTCACGCAGAATATCGTTTTCGCAGCTTCGTTGTTCGACACCTGCACGGATCAATGTGCAATTGGAAATGTATAACTATGGATAATATTTTCTTTCCCTCATATTTGAGCGAATGTAGCGTTTCCTCCGAGATACTTACCACTTCGTCAGTCTTCTTTTGTAAATCTTTTAAACAACAATCTATAGCATACAGCTGACTTTTTAATTCTTTTAGTATCGATGTTACACAACCGCCCTGATAAATAATATTAAATATATATAATTCGGCATATTTTAAGATAACGTACATTATTTTTCTGTATTTTCTTTACCTGAGTCTGGAAGGACTGCAAATTAGTCAGTATTTGCTCGACTTCTTCCGTCACCGCAGTCAACAAGTCTATGCCGATGCACGCTTCCATGTATCCGGGTTCATTGCATCCCTGAAATTGATTTTAAGTTTCACACACGCGATGTAAACCGATTGAAATGATCGTTGGATAAATTTAATCACCGAACCTGTATATTTTCTCGCACGCCGCTGATGCAACGAGATAACTCCGATTGGCTGAGATTAATTTGATTTTTTATATCTTTCAGCTTAATTTTGCCATTCGCGATTCTTTCGCTACGTCTCGATCTCTCTTCTTCCTGACAATAATAAATTTTCAAATTACAAGTAGCAACGATAGGATTCTAATTAATTTTTTACTTTAAGATGCCGCCGTTATGTGTTAGTAATATGCATCGCACACAAGCGTATATATATATGCATGTGTTTTGATATATATTCTAGTTTTATTAATATCTTCGTTACTTGTAATTCTAGTCTATTGATGGCTTCTATTAGCCCTTCTCGTGTTTTCGCTAAATAACTTTGTACACTAACGACCACCTTGTTCAAGTCTTCATACTGGAAAGAAACGGTGTAAGTCTTGTTACTCTTGATTCTTTGCTCTACTGTCTTCGTGAATTGGCATTAATCGTTTAGAAACACTTTATATCAATTTATTTATCGACTTAGACGTACGTTTTGATGTCGCGAATTAAATGTCGAAACAATGGTGTTTATCTCCTCTCGGATATCTTCTGTTGCTGCTTGAGCCTCCACAGTGCATACCCTGAATTCTTCCATCAGTTTGAACTGTCGTGCACTATTTACACTTAACTGTGAACGAAGAAAAACATTAATTTTACAGCATAATATGCGAAGTGGTGTAGACAAAAATAATGGTACATACGCATGACAAAAAATATATTAAAGACATAATCTTACTTTGACATTATTAGAGTCGCCGCAACCGCAATGGCACTGATCTTCTTCTTTCCTTATCTAAGGAGTAAAAAAGGTAACACGTTATATATATGAGATACGTAACTAAAATAAGACCAGAATAACTACGTTCATGAAATAGTAATGTTATTTTTTTCGGAAAAATACAAGAAATTTACATCTGTTTTTAAAAACAACCATAATAGCTTTATTACGTCAAAAATTAATCTTTTCTTCAGTTTTTTTTTTTAATTATTTTCGATTTTTCCTCCGAGTTTAGTTTTTCTAGACAAACAACATTATGAAATAATTAATAAATAAAACGGTTTTCTTAATTTTGCATACATACCATGCAATCGTAAAGTATAATTTCTTTCTCTCTTTCTGAATACATCTTGGTAATAATTTCAATGCAGCTGCCTAGCTTATCCGACATGTCGCTTGTGCAAAGTCCATTTTCATTCGTGCAACTATCAGATATAATACAACTATTCATCTGAAAATATATAATATATAAATATATTCTTTTGAAAAGTGTTCTACAATATAATTCAATATAAATACTTACTAATAAGTTAGTGCAAAATAATCAAATAATATTAATAATCAACTATACGGATCAGAATGCAATTTTCTGTCCTTCAGATATTCTGTTCTCTTTCACTCTGTTACAATTTTAGAAATAATACGCTGCTTTTCTTACCTCAGCAGTCTTATCGGTCAATTTTTCTACAAATTTCTTCATTTCCAGTTTTAAATCGGACAAAATCTCACATTCTTTCTGCACGTGCACTTTTGTACTATTCAGGAACGATACAAGTTCACCCTGAAAGAATAAAATCACTGATATAATGATACATAATATAATGATACATAATACATTTTCAAGATAAAAATAACATATTCCAAACCAACCTTTTTAGAATAACGTGTAGGATCTGTTGAAGGCAAAGTATACATCTGAAAACAGAACGTATCACGAATTCAATATCACATTACAAACAATGCGTATACAAGTTCACGTTTAATTCGAAACTTACTTCTGGATTACTTGTATCAACGCGGACCTTCTGAGGAGACGTGTCCTGAAAAATTATATTAAAAAATATAAATTTGCAACGTTTTAACATATAAATTGAATAATTGCATTCACTGCATAACATTTATTTTATCATCTTATTTAAAATTTATATTAGTCTTGAAAGCGAGGCAATCATGTTAATGTGCGCGATATTTTATTCTTTGCGAATAATATCGTGGAATAAGACGACTATCTTAAACGCATTAATAATACTATGTAAATCATTAAATACACGTGTGCGTATGGATTCACTGATTTATTTATCAAAGAGAAAAGATATAAGTATCTGAGAAAAAGAATTTAGATTATTTCTTAAGACTGTTAACGTCTTTAAAAGATCTGACGCAGTTCATTCTATCTTGCAGCTAGCTATTGTCTTTACACGGCGGCGACAACTTTCTAATGGCCTGCAAAATTTTCTTGTCGCTATTCTTTGAATATCTAGGCCGATCGGTTCGAGTAGTCGCATCGTTCCGAGAGTGCCAGTTATTACTGAGCGATCTGTCCTGTGACGTTGCATTCATCATCGATTGATTTTTCGACGATTTCTTGCGACTTAATTCATACTTAAGAGCGTCTCGCTGCGTATATATACATATAAAGAAAGTTGTGAAGATTCTATTTCAGCTATATTAAGCGGGGTCTACAATCAGAATTTAAGGCGTAAGCCTTAAGAAATTGACCAATCGCAGTCGATTATTCTTCTCATATTCGACTGTGATTGGTTAATTTTATTAAGATTATTAAGATTTGTTAAAACAACTACTGTAGACCAAGGCTTAGCAGTAGCAAGATCGTACGTATGAGGACAAAAGACGGGGAAACGGTTTCTGCAAGTAGAGAAATAGTGTAAGAATTTATCTCCTACCTCTAGAGTTAGTTCTTTTAATTCCTTACATATTTCTTTAATCACATCATTCCTCAGATTATTTCCTATATTTGCATGGCACTTTTCATTCTTTAGCTCAACAATTTTTGTCATCACGTTTCGTGTCTCCGCAGCTTCCTGAAACCGGTAACAATATATATGTTTAAATACAACGCGTAAAAACTATAGGTTGGATATTTTAACGCGTTGAACCAACCTCCTCCAAATGAGCCACTTCCGCCTGCAACTGTTGCACCTTCTTGCACTCCTCTTCGAGTTGTTTTTGTAGATTGTCTGCATCAATATTGCTTTTGTGAGTGTGCACCATATACTTTGATTCGACTTCCTGAAGATGTCGATGTAAGCTTTTGTTTTCTGTATCTTTTGCAATTAACACACTTTCCAGAATGTCAGGCGTTAACATAATCTAAACAATATGAATTTTAAAGGAATCTCTTAGTCTTATTTGAAAAAATGTGAGAACTATACGTTTTGCTAATAAAATGTAATTAGACAATTCAAAACAGGTTATAAAAGGTAACAAAAACGATTATCACGATAAGAAAACTATTCTTTCCTTTCTTTAATTCTTATCTATACTACAACATGATTGCCTCCAAATTATTATATAAAATTCGATATTTGGATATCGAAACTTGTCAGATAAGTTTTTGTTCACACAATAATTAAAAAAAGCAAACTTACATCGCAGTCCTGATTAGAAGCGATTGTCAATGGATGACTAATAACTTGACTTGTCTTCTTAGAATGCTCCCTGAGTTTATCACAAAAGCTCTGAAGTCTAGAAGCATATTTCTTGACGGTCTCATCTTTCACTGATAATTTTGTTTTAAGATCTTCTATCTTTCCTTCCAGTTCCACTTTAGATCTGAAAAACATACACCCATGTAAAAATGTACATTATATGTATGAAAATATGAAATATCTATTATATAAATCGTTATCATAAATTTTTAATGTTAACACCATTTTTATAACAAAATATGTAATAGAACAAATTTATTATAGATATCTACAGTATATTTCATACCTAATCATTTTTTTCTCATTTTCCTGAAGCCGCTCTATTTCCAAATTCAAAGATTTGATCTGTTCAGTGTCTATCTGTTCCTAATTTAAAGATACATTATTATTAAGTATAATATTTAAAAAATAATAGTACACCAAAACATCTTGCTAGTTATGCTCAGCAACATACTAAAAAATCACTAGTACTATGTAGATAAGAAAACTTTGGAAGTGCAGTCAACTCCACTGAATATGTGACAACTAATGATTTATTCAATATCGATATATATGCACATGTGTGTGTATCTGATAACAGTTAATTTAATAAAGGATGCAGGGAGCAGGGGAAGCTTGCGTGTTAAACATACAGTAGAAGCGTTGCATCACGTACTTCTGCTTAACGGATAATCTGACTTTTGTTATTTTCCGCGCTCTACATCTAAAATAAGTCTGAGCTTCTTGGTTGCGTTTATACACATATTTACCTGGCTACAGATACAGCTGTAATAATAATAAGACAAACTTCGTTACTAAATATTTGGCAAGAATACAAAATATCTTTCAATTGTATAAAAGTATTCAACTTACTCCAGTGGTGGGAGTGGAATATCTTTACGTTGAATTTCAAAAAATTTTATACCCTCAAAGCTCCAGACATTTTGGCAGTGTGCACGTCGAATCAACTCCAATAATCCTCTAATATCACTCTGCAGATATTCTATTTTTTTAACCAAAAACTGCTCATCTTTTTGCAACTGGCTGACACGATTTGACAGAATATTTAGAGTCTGTAGTAAAAAGAATCAAATGAATGATTTGTACATACATGGAAATATGCTTATATTTTATTTATCACAAAACTATTGAAGCAATTTAACGAAGCTTGACACATTCTTACTTCTTCAGAATGATTTGATCTTGACAGATTATCTTGAACTATCTGCGAGGACTGTTTTAATTTTTCTTCCAACAGTTTAACTCTACTACAAGCAGCTTGCTCTAAATCCTGCACTGTTTGTACTAGCATGGCATTTTGGTCACCTAAATCCTTAATCCAGTCATTCATTATCTGCAGTTTCATCTATAATAAGCATAATCTTTGATCAATGTTTTAAATAAACATTTTCAATTTGTGGTTTCAAGCTCTTAAAATTGTTATCGTAGATGTACGATATAAAAATATAAAATATAGTATCACACGACTTTTATACAATAAAAATAAATATTGCTTACGGAAACTCGGTCAAATTCGCCGCCGGACTCCCCATCGATTTTCTCGATGCGACTCTCGTACAACTTACGGAATTCATCGAGAATACGCAGACCTTCGGTTTCGCCGCAAGGTTCACCAGTGCTGTTGTCGATCGCTTTGCAGTTTTGGTCTCGTTTGGCCAACGTCGAAATGCTCACATTTGCAGAGCCTGACAAGCTGGCACTGATCGAGTGCATTGCTCCACACAAAATTCAACGATTATAGATGTGCGCTAAATAGATTAATAGCCTCCCTGCACCCGTTTCGACGGAAATGCGCTTAAAGTAAATATCAACACATTATCTCGCCATTTTAGCGATCAGCACGTCACAAATCCACTGACGAATTGAGGTTAAGGCCGGGTCATGTTTGACCGTAGGATCGATGTTCGACTTTTTGTTCAGAAATAAACCGTCCGCTCGATATTTCCCAGCTCTACTTATTCCAATGCCATTAATTTGTTTTAATTTGACGCTATTAAATCTCATTATTATCTAACATTACTATTAAAAAATAAAAAAAGCCGTCCGATTCGTTGAGTCGTACCACTTGAAATACAGGTTCGTTCAGCCAGTCGTTGAGTTACACTACGACCTCGAATCTTTTGCAATGGCTTCTGCCCACAGGACAAGAAGCGACGCGCTAACCAATCAGCACGCCGTATTTCCACGAGAACTGCAAGGTGATTGGCTGCCGCGTCGTTTCTTGTCGCGCGCGGCAAGCATTTTCGCCTCCTGCGGACGGAAACCAATACAGTATCGATACATAGGGAAATATGGTTTTCTTTCGGAAAATAAGGTTTCTTCCCTTTACAATTTGTGGAGGAAAACCCTATTCAAACATTGCGTATTCTTATGATCGACTTGCGGCCAATGCAGGACGGACTTTAACGGCGATAGTTGAGGACGAACTTTCTCAGAGGGCGCATCGGAGAATGCGGCCCCCCTGAAACCTTTGCGGGATGGCCGCTCTCAGGTCTCCCTCCGCTTGTGCGGTATACATATTCTAATACTGATGCATACTTGACGAGTCGGCATGTAATCGTAGTGGAGCAAGTGGAAAAGCCAACGCAAGAGTTGTTCGCAGCCCGTCGAGAGAGAGAGAGAGACTCGCCAAGCGGAGTGGTGGTTCGAGCCCGAAGAGCGTAGATTAAATGTGCGGCAAGGATGGGATTACCGCGCGACAACAATGAGCCGCATCACGAGTCGCTGCCGCGCGCGACCGTGTAGCAGCTTAAGTCTAACCATAGGGACGGAAACGGCTGCAAATCCGACCGGCGGAACGAACGCGCCCCCGAGGCGTTGTCGCCGTATTCTCTGACAGTCGCAGGATAAACAGGACACGGCCCGTCACACCGTCCGACGAGCGTTCCTCTTAGTGGCGAGGGACGAGGCGGAAGGAGGACCGTCAAGATCGCAGCCTCGCGAGCTACCTGCAACCGTGCGTGCGAGCAGCATCGGCGAGCGTCACCGACATGTACCAGACGTGCGGCACGAGTCGTCGCGTTAACCGTACAAACGGCCCCGTCAGCTGATCATCATTGAACAACGAAATGTGAGCAGCAGGTATCCCCATCGTCGAGCCCACGATCGTACAATCACACATTGCAGGTTCGATTGTCGCGGCCTGATTCCACCGCATACATTTAAGACTAATCGTAACGCGAAAAGGCGGCGGTGCGAGCACTTCAGTCGGTAGGTAAGGATTCACATGGGAACATGGGGAACAAGAATAGCTGTTGTGTCTACTCCAGCCCGCAAAGTGGACGCAAGGAACCAGGCTCCGAAGGTACCACTCGGAACCTGGAGGAACACCTGCCCGAAGGTGGGATTAGCGTTAATAATTTGCAACATATCAGTGAACGTGAGCCGGAAGATTGGGACTCTGATCCGTCGTTGCATCCGTGCGCGGGGACTATTTTCATGGAGCGCTCAAAGCAAGCCATAGAGAGTAAGTGTACCGGTCGCACGGAACAAATGCAGACCTTGGGAGGGGCTGTCTTCAGGGTGTGTCTGATCCGACTCCTTTTCAGATGGCATGGTGAGGAAAAAGAGTCAACATCAGATAGCGGATACAAGGCCTTTGAAGAAAAGTAGTAGCTGCAGTACAATATATCTAGACGACAGCACGGTCTCACAACCTAATTTAAAGAATACCGTCAAATGCGTTGCCTTAGCTGTTTATTACCATATTAAGAATAGAACGTCGCAGCGACAGATTGATATATTCGACGAGAAACTGCATCCATTAACGGTAATTTCGGGAAGAAAAAAAGAAAATAAGAGTATACACATTACTCTCTTATATTATTATACTTACTATACTTATCTTTTGTTTGATATTTTTCTATGTAATGTCGCTCGAGTTTTTGTAAAAAACTATCTCCTCAGACAAAATTAAATGATTCTTCAATACTGTGAATCTTCCTTTTCCAGAGAGATGGCGTTTCAGACGATTATGATAAACATAATCCAGAGCACAAGCAGATATATAAATTTGTGAGGACTTTGTTTAATGCCGCTCAGCTCACAGCTGAATGTGCCATTATAACATTGGTTTACTTAGAACGCCTACTTACTTACGCGGAAATAGATATAACACCGGCGAACTGGAAACGGATAGTATTAGGAGCTATTTTATTGGCGTCTAAGGTCTGGGACGATCAGGCGGTATGGAACGTAGATTACTGTCAAATATTGAAAGACATCACTGTGGAAGACATGTAAGCCCCTTCCTTTTAATTATTCGGCCTACTATTTCCCTCAGTTGTTCCGTAACGGAGATGAGAGGAGTTACGTATGTATTAATCGAATCAATTTGTGCGATTATCGTCTAGGAACGAGCTGGAGAGACAATTCCTGGAAATGCTGCAATTCAACATAAATGTTCCTTCGAGTGTATATGCCAAATATTACTTCGATCTTCGTACACTTGCGGAAGCAAACGAATTAACATTCCCTAGTGAACCTCTTAGTAAAGAAAAGGCGCAGAAGTTAGAAGCTATGTCCAGAGTCTACGAGGACAAGGTTACAGCCGTGGCTCTACGTACCGGTGTTAAGAAATGGTCCAGCTTAGACAATGTATGCATAGGCGGACCTAGACGTAGCATCGCTATTTTATCTTAAGCATATGTACGAATATACAAAGGGTGTTTATACCTGCCCTCAAGGTCCGCGACCACTCCTTTTTAAACACCTCGTGTGAGCGGATGTAAACGTATGTATGGATTACTGTTCATACTTTAAATGGAGGTATACGTGGAATTTCGTGTAGAAATGTCATCATTGTTACCGAATGTGTTTTTTTTAATCTCTTTCACAAGGAAAAAGAAATTGTTTGGATTGCCCGACATTTACGTTGCGTTTCTATTTAATTGATATGAATTAATGTTCGATGTATAACATATACATCTCACACGAACGATAGAGTCATCGTCTTACGGACGCTATTTTACGTGCTGTCCGAGCTAGATGTTAAAAACATTACATATACTACGTGGTGTATTGCTAAGTTGTACCGTAACGAAAAAAAACTTACCGCTGAATTTGGTTCACAAGTGACTTTAGATTTACTCTTGAGATCACGACAGGTAATTGTACCTGTGGGTATTATATCTCGATTTGCCGTCAGTTTCTCAACGAGTATGCTCTCGGTATCCGCGTTAAAGAGGAATATATACGCTCTAATTGGAACAAAATTCCAAATTAAATTCCCTTACCAATTTAAACAATTTCTAATTCGCTTTGATCAAACATGTGTTACACTAATTACATCTCAACCCGAGATACATATTAATCTTACTCGTCAGTCTTGTCTTGTCGAGTATTATTAATATATCTCCACAGCCAAGATTCTATCAGTCCGGGACCTCACGATGCGAATATATAATAATAAAACATACGAATACGGTATATTATTGAGGCAAAAAGAAAGAAAAAAAAGAAACGGAAGTTTTAGTCCTAGCATTATCTGTGTATCGTCCTCTTATATGGGAGAGAAAATAACTTGTGATATATATTAGTCAACTATTCATTATCCAAAGCATTTTATATATTGACTGAATCTAATAAGAATCAAAGTTACGGCTGATTTACTAATAACATTCTAAACGAAAGCGAAAATACGCAGCATGCTTCGAGTAAAATTATCGATATTCGTCGTAACATTTACGTAACTTACCACGAGATACTCCAATTAGAGATTCGCGAGGCGAAGCTATAATGCACATTACTATATATATATATATATATATGTGTATATATATATACATATGTGTATATCTTGATATATCTAAATTATTTTAAGTATATCAATATATCACTTATACATACTTGTGTCTTACTATTATATACATTGTGAAGGAGATCAATGTGCAAATTTGTCGTGGTGATTTACAGCAGACAAGTTGTATATAGTTTCTTTACAATGATATAATATAAGCATACACATACACATGCTGTACATCGTTCATTTATTTTGCCGCGCGCGAAAGCAAGCCGCGTTGAAAAAAAGAAATTACCTTTAGAATTATCTTCGATCAAACGATTCAAGTGGAACGCGTGAATTTTCACGGGGAGAATTAACGCCGCAGACACACACACACACTCTGCGCGCGACGCTCGATTAATTTAAAGCATCGTATATTTTGATCGACGATTTGTGTATTTTGGATAATAGTACATACATAGCAAGAACACCATTTACATATAATATAATAAGTATATGGTAGTGTGTAAACATTAGCAAATCAGCCTTTATAGCTTGTTAGGGAAACGAAAGGCATGATAAATTAGTCGGAATGATTGCTTTTATATACGGCGCTACTTCCATGAATTTGTAACTAGATAATGCGCAAGATTAAGGATAAGCCATGATATCAGGGTTGCATCTTTATTTGTAAAATCTAATACACTCTCGGTCTTCGTTGATATAATCGTATTTGATTTTTAATTACGGATCACTCTATTGTAATTGTTCGAAAAGAAGCCAACTCCTCGATATCAAGTCTCCTTGTTTGTTCGTTCTTGCTTCTTTTCACAGATATTGCGTAATACGCATTGATGTTTTAGGTACTTTATATGAGTATACTCCCCTCCCTCCACATACACACACATACACACACACACATTCACACAGAGTTACGTTGAATAATCGTTCGGTGCTCTTTCGTGGGAAAAAATCATATAATAATTTCGTTTTCTCACACACTCGCCGTTACTGCTAGGAAATCTGAATTCAAATGCTTTATACACAGGCGCGCGCGGGTTGATTGTTTCAACATAAATATTGAATGTTTAATTTAACAATCCGACAGCCACGCGCAATTGAGAGGAAGAGAGAGAGAGACACTTGTTCTCCCCATGAATCGCGTATAATTGAATCTTCCAAAGAGATCATCGAAAAGCGCGCTCACTGAGGAAGAAAAGGAAGAAAAAAAGATACTTCGAGATTGTATCATACTCACACTTTTACACGTATGACCAAGGTCAAATTAATACCATTTAATGTACTATTAATCGTGTATCATATGCCACTAACTGACTTGTGTACGATAATTTCATATTTTGTACCTACCAGTTTAGAAGTTTAAACTTAAGATAGTCTTTATCTCGCGTATATGACTGGTTATATATAAATATATATAAAAAAAGTATATATATATATATATATACATCCGTTAAGGATTAAAAAGCGTAACACGAAATTCCGTGGATTGGATTCCCTCGGAATCGCCGTTACGAAACGATATATATATATATTTACGGTTCATTATTATTTTTATATTTTATTACACGCGAGAGAGTCGACGTATTGTCGAGGTGGAATTCACAATACGACGACTGTCGAAATACGACGTATGCGGCGAGAAAGAGGAGAAGAGGAACGGCGTACGAGTTCCCGATTCTCGGCGCAAAATGTATAGCGTATGTACCGGTTCGATGGTATATGTAAGCGTAGTAGTATAACATATCCGCAATTTCTGTCCAGATTACGAGGTTTCGTTCAGCCGACCGATTTGCAAAGGTATATTTTTAGGCGTATCACCGAGGATTAAGTAGCCACACGCACACATACACACACATGTATGACGCGCTACCGGCGGAAAGCGTTCGCACAACTCGATCGAAAGCGAACACACACACGTACACACACTGTGCGATGCCAAAATATTGTAAAACGGAAAGAAAGAAGAAGAGAGTTGTACGCTGTATAAACTGACACTGCAGAAAAAAGAAAGAAAGAAACGCGTGTGCTCCGCGCTGCACCGATCTCGGTTCGTTTCGCGTTCTGATTTTCTGACGAGACTTAGATCTTACGAATTCTCTCGCGCGTGACTATTTTTATAAAATAGAGATTCATTCACGAAGACAATCTTCGAGTCTCATTGCGTCCTGTAAATAAATTGCCGAGCTCGTGTTTAAGATTCGTCGATGTGTATATCATAAAACCGTGCCGCTCTCTCTCTCTCTGTTTAGTAGTTGCTCCAGCAGAACATCTCTCACGCTTGAAGGTAGTGTCGTCTCTCGGCAACAACGTCGCCTTTAAGTCTTCCATCCTAATGTCCATGATAGAATCTTGCGATTCTTTATTCCTTGTAATAAGCAGCACTATGTTAATACGTTACACACATATATATATATGTGTATATATATATATATATATATTGTGACCGATGCTTTTAATATGAATGCTTTAATATGAATTTGTGATAAATAGTTGATACATTAACGATATCGTTTTTAACGTATAAAACAATCTGCGGAAGGCTGTCTGATTTCACTACTTTACCGTCTGTTCGATCGTCCCGGCGGGTACGATACATCGCGAAGTTGCGACGAATTTGTATATTCGGCCGCCACACCTCCCTCCTTTCGGTTTTTAGCCGAGCAGAAGGAACGATTTGATCGTAGTGATTTCTCTGTCTTGCGTTTTGAAATTGACGTTGCCGCTTGAAAAGACGTAGCGCTTTCGCGTAACTGTTGCATGCAAAAAGTGCGTTTCTCTCTCAGATATGTAAAAAATATAAATTACCGATACTTTTTAATATCTCGATTTTAAACGCGCTTCGTATCTTCGACTCCAAGCGGTCGCACGATGAACGTGGGCGACGAGAGAGCGATATGTGCGTACGTACGTACGACAGTGAAGATGTATAAAACGCGAGCTTTTCTGCAAAAGAAATTATTATTGATAATGATTATACACACACACACACACATACACGTATACATACACACAGAGAAAGAGATGTACTATTGCGAGTACTCGACTATGTATACAACGGTTGTATCGGGAATCTGACGATTGTATACACAAGCGGAGCCACTCTCTTGTCTCTCTTCGAACCGCCAAATTTCTAAGAGACACGCAATTTCTTATAAAAAAATAAAATTGTGCCTGAAATCATTTATTCAATCGACATGTATATTTGCATTTTTATATCTCTCCTATACCAAAACTTTTGATATAGACGCGAGAGAAACGAGCCTGCAATTTTAATGAACACCTCATCTTTCGCGGTGCGCAGGAATCAAGATGATGGACAAACGTTATACTTTCATATCTCAGGATTACTTTACAAATATATATCCTGAATTAGTGAGATTTGGCGAGAAATCGTCCTGGAAAAGTGATACAAAGCGAGATTTGTACATGGCACGACAAATTGCTCCTCCCGTTTCTTCTTTCATATTTGATTGAGATATATAATAAAAGGTGTGACGAGTACCTCCTGAATGATTTATTTAACGGCATTTTAGCATTCATCGATCAGTAAATACATATTGATAATGTATAATAAGCGACCCCCTTCCATTTGTTTTTTTTTTTTCTATTACATACAGCATACAACAGAAACTTTCTGAAAGCAGAGAGTTAGTCAGATCATATGTCTCGGGTTCAGTCTAAATAGAAACACATAAATGTGACGTAGCGTTTAAAATTAAAGGAATAGAAAAATCGTATAAACTATACAGTTATATATATATATATATGTATATATATATAATTATTATATATATATATATATATAATACATATATTATATAATTATATATACATACACAATATACATACATATATATATTTATATTAAACGAACGCGTTTAATCATCGCACCTATACATCTTGCAACTTTTTACACTCGGTTTACTCGCGGAAGAAAAAAATGAGGGGGGGGGGGCGACATCTGCAGGGAGGAAAGGAAAGAAAAGAATACGGTAAAATACAAATATAGAGCAGTCTCGTTCAAAGTCTCGCGTTACTTATCACCGTCACGTCGAGAGAGACTTGATATCGACTGTGATATAAACGTCATTAACAATTATTTACCACGCGCAAGTAGTAGCATTCCGTCCTTACGATCTATCGAGAGTAACTCGTTTCGCAGTGAGCTGCGATATTGCGTAACATATCTTATGCGTATGATACATTCATTATAAGCATTCGTGTATAATACGAAGAGAACGCGTTTACTTCTCCCCCGTCTCTACCTCTCCCTCTCTCTCTCTTTCTCACACACACTCATTGCTACGGACTGCATTGCATCACTGCAGAATATTCAACTGTCCGGTATTGGTGGCGTAAACCATCCCCTGGCCCGGCTGCGGCGCCCATCTGATGCAATTCAGGCTGACGTAGCCGGTGGTCTCTCGACTGCTTTGCAACAATTCTCTAATAAGCACCATACTCTCCCGGTTACTCTTGATATCCAGCTCGGTTCTCATATTCCGAATTCGCCAATCTTGCACGTGCGGCCTGTCAGCCGCCGCGTTCTGCCTCGCCGAGTTGTTCGTCGCATTCGTCGCGTTGGCCATGCTGTGCGCGAGCTCGTCCGCCCTGTGATAGCCGACGTCGGCGCGATCATACATCTTGTACGAGGCCCTCGAGTCGTTCGCAGGCTCCAACGGGGCCTGCCTCTCGTCCTCGGGCTGCCTCTCGATCAGCTTGTAGATCAGAGCCATCGGGAATGGTCGGGCGGGCACGTGAATCCTACGCGCTAAACCTACCAGGAGATGCTGCTGCGTGGGCGACATCGAGACCGATACCACAGTCTGATCGATCTTCGTCGAGTAAATCCTCTCCCCGAGTGTTTCCCATTGCAAACTATAAACACCTGGAATCACGAAGTGATAATAATAAAGGCGAACATATCGGAATTGCGATAGCTGACGCACGGTGTGAGATCACGACGTGTGCCTCTCGCTCACCTAACATTGTCGTGACGTTGATACGACCGGAAGGTAAGAGCGTCGCCAATAGCTTCCCGTCCGAAGATATGTCGATGCTGGCGTCGTTGTGGATCTTACATTCGCGCACCACCACATTCTTCTCCGCTGCGAACGGAACCCATGTTTTATGTAACACGACAATATAGACCATTGCGGTCAATCTTTGGTCTATTCTTTATAGCTTCTTTAACTTTATTAGCTTTATATTTCTTGAACTAGTGCAGCTGTAAGTTCCGGTCTACAACAGATACTTTAAGCTCTAAGCCTTAAGAAATTGACCAATCACTTTCTCCTCACATTCGACTGTGACTGGTTAATTTCTTAAGGCTTAGAGCTTAAATCCTCATTGTAGCATCATTATAGATTAGTATGTGATATGTAACATAGACTAGTATGTTCAAAATTATTGACTAATAATACTTTCGATGTGATTTTCAGGAGCTGTGTATATTTTCTTCCCCGTGTCTCTTCCGCTCGTCCGTAGGGATACATATGCGATATGAAGGATTAAAACCAACCACATTTACTTTTTTCGTAAAGGAGGTAAGAAACCAAAAAAAAAAAATCTGCGGAAAATGGAGAAAAAACGGGTTTTTCTCAAAACTTTGAAGCTACATTCATATTCGAACACAACTATAAGTAGTGTTAGACGGTAAAATAACTCGCAATGAAATCAGACGAATGTGTTTTCCGCACGTTGTTTATGTAAAACGATTATTAATGTATTAGTAAAAGTATTTCAAGATTATCAGAAGAGAAAGAGAGGGAAAATAGACGTAGTCCTTGAAAATCGTCCCGAAAGTGCGAATAATTCCGAGAACTAATGTAGACTAATCGAAGGAAAGCGTCCTCGCAACAAGGATTCGTATCTGGTGAAACAATGCCCCACACTCACGATCCGTAATATCGGGAATGTCACCGTTGGTGAAGTCCCACGCCTGAACGCGATAACTCTGCATCTCCAATGTGTTGAACATGCTCACAGGTATGTGATCTGAAAGCCACTTGATTTGTAAATCCCCCCCCCCTCTTCGCACATGCGAAATTTACTTATTAGGGCTAGAAATCGTATTGGTGGCTTCGAACTTTTTAACCTTCGACACATTATATTCGAATTTTGGTTGAACAAAATTTGAAATGTGGAAATTCGAACATCCGAATGTTGGAATATTTGAAACTTCAAGAACTGGAAAGTACGTGTGTTCGTTTTTCAGGCACAGTAAATAGTATTTACTGTCCTAAAGAATACGATTTTTTTTCTTACATATACAGTTACGTATCATAGCAAAATGTGCATTTGTTAGACAAACGCAAGTCTCGGAATTGAGCTGAAGATACTTAAACTGATACTTTATTAGACAGCATTTTGCTTTGCTCTCCAAAAATAAATTCTATTAACAACTTCGATATTTCCGAACTTTCGAACGGAGTTCGAAGAAAAAAGAACGATTCGACTCCGAATCTTCCAACCTCGTCGTCGAGTGTCGTAACCCATACCGAAGTTTCGATGCTTCGAATATGTCGGATAATACACTACCCCTGTTATTTATCGTGTGATCTCACGGCGCGCGACACTGTCAACACCGGTGTGTGCAGTTTGGAATTTGGAAACGGGGAAAGGAGTGTGTTTACCGAAATCGATATCATCGCTATCGTCGTTTCCTGGATCTTGTCCGCCTCCGCCGTTGCCGCCGCCTCCGCCGCCACCATTGCCGCCGTTACCACCGCCGCCTCCACCATTACCTCCGCCGCCGTTTCCGTCGTCGCCACCAGGACCAGGTCGTATTCCACTGGATGCACTGGATCGCCAAACCGCCAAGAACGCCGGGCTGAACAACTGATACGGCAACGACTAACGCCGCTTATAGTCTCATGCGTCGAATATAAATATGATTTTAAAGTTTCCGAAAGAAAAATAATAATCCGTTTTCCCTTACTTTCTTTATGGGAAAAAAAAAAAAAAAATTTGGTAGGTTGATGAATGCTAAATTCATGAGCGGCTCCCTTGATGGCGCCGTTAAAAGTACGACAGCCAGCGCTAACTTAAAATCACCTTAAAACTGTAAATACGAGGAAACCAAGAATATATATATATATATATATATATATTTGTACCCGATTTCTGTTATTGTTCGGCAGGGCAGAGCTTGGCCCGGGTTGACTCGCCAAGTCATTCGCACGGTCGCCATTCCTGTCGACGCCGAAGCTGAGCAGCCTCTGGGCTATCGTCTCCGCGCCGGACGACAGCGGATGTGTGGTGCTGGCCGGCGGCGAGATCCGTCTCCTGCGAAGATTGTGAGGAAAGTTGTTGAGGTCGCTGACGGGTATGCTGTTGACCTGCAGCTCGGGCACGTTGAATTCCTGTCGCAGTGTCGACCCGCTCTCCCTGTGGAGGAACCTGCGCCACGAGCAGACGTCCACTCCGGCGACCAAGTCGATACTGTTGCCGTCTCTCAACGGATACCTGGGATACAGGGAGTCGCGAAACGGCAGGGCGGCGCGTGCCAGCGGGGCGCTCTGATGCCCCGTTCTCGGCGGTCTCTGCTGCAACAGTCTGCTGCCCTGCTGAGCGTCCACGGGGAAGCCCGGCCAGGCGTAGGACGTGCTAGGAACTTGCGCCGTCTCGTTCTCACGCGAGTTACCCGCTGGCTCGTCATTGGCCCGTCTAGGCGGCGGATCGAAGGCCACAGCGTTCCTGCGGCACCGCCGGAAGTCTCTGGTGCGCGCCACCGAGTCGCTCTCGTTGCGCGGCTGCTCGCGCGGGTTGTTGTCTCTGGGCCCAGCCGCCCAATTCTCGACTATCCTCGTACGCATCTCGCCGCTGTTGATCGAGCTGCTGCTTTGGATCCTCTCCACGATACTCTGCACCTCAGCCGACAGCATGGTCTCCGACAGCAGGGGGCTACCGCTCGACTGTTGCCGATTGTTGTCGCGAGCGTTGCCGCTGGAATTGTTGTCATCGCTGCTACCATTGTTGTTATTGCTGTTGTTGGATCTGGCAGTGTTCTGATTCTCCATCGACGAACCGTTGCTGCCCGAGTGCGTGCCCGCCCGTGCGTGCCGCGGTGTGTAGAACAGCTTCTTCAATTGCTCCGCCATGGGGTGATGCCTGTTGCCCGGTGCCGAGAGCAGATCCTCCGCGTTCCCCCGGTAGACACCCGCAGACGTGCTCGGTATATCGCTGCGACCGCCCCTCGAGAATCTCTCGCGCTCCGTGTTGCGCCTGTTTTGCGCAGTGTCGTTCGAGCGACCGCTTTCCGTCTGCAGGCTGTTGTCGATGCTGTTGTTGGGACGCGCGTTCTCAGTCCTGCTCACATTATTATCGACCGACAGGTCGGAAGTAAAAGGCCCGTACTGACTAGATTCCAATTCCCGTCTCGTTATTACCAACTGCGCTAACAGTAAATCCGTCAATTCCAACGCCAAGTGGAGTAGCACGTACATTTCTGAAGGTAGAAGAGATAGTAGAAGAACGTAGATCAATATATAATGGATAGGTAATAACAGTATGTATCATTGCGTCTTGCCTGATCTAGCCTGACAAACTGTACTTACTGTACATCTGTTCGTACAGAACATTGCTCTGAGAACCATTCCCCGACCTCGTCACTTCGAAGAACTGGATCAGAGATCTCACCATCAGGCCGAGAACTTGTCTGGAACGATATCAATCAATGTTAACGCATTATCGGGCATTATCGTACGATCTACGTCGTGTATGCTGTACTATTTCTTAGAAGAATAGGCGACCCCAAAAAAATAACTTCTCAGACATCAAAATAGCGACCAAAGGTGACATTTTTTTCGTCAAATTCTGAGAATAACTATATATATATATGTATATTTATATACGTTAATCGTCGCTAGTTTTAGTGTTAATGCATGGCACTGTACATCAACATCACATTGTGTGTTCAAAATGTCAATTAATTAATTTATTCATATATCAATTAATTATTAACTAATTTATACTCTGTGTGCGTTCTCCCTCTCACCTGGCTCTTAATCTCGTAGTTTCGCGTATCTGTTCCATCTCCTGATTCTCGTGGTCTCTGTTCTCCGACTGACTGTCGCTGTCCGATCCTCGGTTGACATTGCCGCTGCGAGTCAAGGCTCTCTGCTGCCGGACTAGGGATTGCAGTCGCATGAGGTCCTCCGCAATTTTCTGCAGGGACTCGGACGTGGTCTGCCTTCTGTCCCGCTCGCCGTTACTACTGCCGCTGCCGCCGGGCGCGTTCCTGCGCAAATGCCACGGTCTTCTAACGTTCTCGCAATGGCGGAACGGATTGTTGGGGGACTGAGGCCCGATGCGGCTCTGCTTCAAGTTGCGCGATCTCATCAACCACGATCTCAGAAGTCTGAAACACGGGACGGGTGGTTAATTTCGAGCGGTGTGTGTCTCTTGAAGAGAGAGAGAGAGAGAGAGAAAGAAAGAGAGAGGTCGATGATAATCGAAATTTATAATTTGACAATATGGTCACTCAGAGCTTTCGTTGTCAAATCGTAAATTTTGGACGTAATCGTCAAGCTTTCCATTTTCTTCTCCCTTCAAGATATAGATTTACCGTTGCTCTTCGACAGCTTCGAAATCGATTTCGGAATTTTTAAGCTTTCACGCCGATATTTCCGAGTTTCAGTCCTCTAAACTTCGAAGATTTATGCATTCGTTACGGGGGAGAGGACGACGGGTAAAAATAGATCTCGATTTTACCACCCTGAAAGCTTCGAAGCTTTTCTCGATTTTCGAGTATTTCGTATCGAAGCTCTTCCGAACGCGAAAACTTCGAAGGGAAATTACACTCCTAATGAATAGACGCGCTCCTCTGAGAAGCACGCGATTACCGGAGGTTCATTCTCTGCCGCAGGTTCTGGTACCGTCTGCTCCGCCACCTGCTGCCGCCGGAGGACGACTCGGGCGAGGACGTGGAGGTCGAGCTACCGCTCTGGTTCACCGGATACTGCGTCACCAGATCGGAGTTTGCGTTAGCATCGTCGGCGTTGCTCCCGTTGTTGCCGCTCGTATTGGCCGCCGGAGGAGGGTCGGCGTCTGCGCGCGGCATCTGCGTGGAGCCGGCGTTACGGTCGATACCGCTGACGAAGTTCGAGATACTCGGCAACGGTCTCAGCTGCGACGTTAACGCCGTCACCGTGGGCAGACTCGAATTGGCACCGATGTTCGACACGATACTGGACATGCTGGGTAACTGCGATGCGTCTCTGCTGGTCGTGGCTAAGTTTGAGTACGTGTGATCGTTCGTCGCGTACTGCGGCGTGGCGTTGCCGTCGGACGGGGGAGCGCAGTTCTGGCAGCGCGACGTTAAGCGGGAATACCAGCCGTCCAGCATCTCCTTCAGATTGTGCGACAGCATCTGCCGTAGCTCCGAGTCGCTCGGCAACAAGTTCGACAGGCTGATGTTGGTCGAGGTCTCCTCGACGTTGCGAACGCCGCTCGACGACGCTGGCGACGTCGCAAACTCTTCCTCGCGGCTCCTCTCGGTGATGCCCCGTGACGTCGACGGCTGGCTGTGATCGTACGTCCTCGCCTGATCGTTCTCGCTGTTCTGCCTCTGGTAATTCTCCAGTAGGGCCTTCTTGTAGTTCTTCGCCGACTCGTTCTGCGAATTCGTGGACGAGCTTGTGGCCGTGGACGCCGTGGACGCCGTTGACGGCGCGCCGGGGTTGCCGTTACCGGCCTCCCTCTGCGCTTCCGTCTGATCGTTGTTGTTGTTCAGCCTCTCCACGCGAACGGTCACGTGCAACGAACGGATCTGGCGCTGCAGGTCCTCCCACATTTTACGCACCTGACACAGCTGAACTATCTCAAGCCGCGCCCTGTTCGCGAAACGAGAAGAAACGTTACCCTCGGGAGATAAGGGGCCCTTTTCTGCTTAACTAATGCTGGAACGAAATTCCTCCTTCTTTAAGCGATGGATTATACGGAGTGTTTCTTAAATAAGGTGGAATGGCTACATGTTGTCGTGTAGGATGCATCGATGCAAACATAAAAGTTCGTACAAACATAGCGCCTAAGGTGCTCAGTCGATGAGTTGTAAGGATTACGAGGAGAATTTGTGTGTTACTGCAATAGACGCTTTAATGCTATTGAACGGTGCATTCCAATCGACTTAAGGACGTGTTGCCCATTAATGTCGTATTTTCAGTGGCGTATCAAGAGGATCGCTCATAAATATAATAATTATCAAGCAAAATTGCATCCTTACACATTTATTTCACCTAAATAATATGAAAAAAAAACTGAAGTAGACAGGCCACCTTTTCTAAAACGCCCTGTAATACTTGCTTCATTTGCCAAGAGCAAAAGGCACAAGTTGGTTCAGCTAAAAAGGACAAGGGACTATGGACGCAACACGTTCACGTTCACGTATCGTCAACTCACCGGCATAAGCGTTGCATATTGTCGATGTGGCGATTAAGTAACTGAATCCCCTGTCGAACTCCCAGTGAACCCTCTCTCAGGTCCACACTGCCGAGCACTCTGAGATCGAGATCCGCGTCGTCCGGACTTCTCTGACCGCGCTGCCGGTTGCTGCCGCTCGCGAAGCTGCTCTCGCGATTACTCCTGTCGGCGCTTCTCGCCGCTGGATCGTTAACACCCTCCGTTAAACTCGCGAACACGTCGGTCGCGCTCGAGTCGGGCATTTGCAAGTGAAACGGAGTACCGTGAGCGAAGTCGCTGGTCGCGGGTGTCTGATTCTGATCTACCCGTCGGGACTGATTTTCCCGCAAGCTTCTAAAAGGGAACAACGGCGGCTGTTCGTAACGAGAAGGATTTAGTGACACGGGCGATAAGCGGTTCCTATCGCGCATAGTACTTGGATCTCTGTGTCGTGTATCGTTTGAATTCTGATCCGCCACGTCCTCTGAGAGAGATCTCTCTTGAGCTTGCTCGCTCGGCAAGTCGTTGTTAGCGTATTCCGTGTTTCTACTCGAATTGTCCAGCTGTATCCATCGGCTGGTCCACCGGCGAGCATTCGAATTCGTATTGGAGCTCGAATCGTCTAGGTTGGAATCCGAATTGCTGTTCTCCTCGAGAAGCCAATACCCGTTCTCCGAATCATCCAGCGAAACTTGTTGGACAGTGTTATTGTTCTCCATCCGGTCCGCGTGCAAATGCCGCTGGAGAACATCTAGCACTCTCCTGAGCAGAGATAAATTTCTAAATGTTGAAAATAATTTCTAAATGTTAAAAATTTCCACAAATAAAAAAATTCTAAATATAAAATATATATATATATGTTACATATTGACAAATAAGATAAATATATATATTACAGAATGGTTGAATGCAGTTCACCTCAAAAGAGACACAGTGAACTGACAGAACGTAGCGTTAACCCTTTATTGACAAGGTGAATTTTCAACGTATCCAGGAAAGTGGAGTTAAATCCGACCTCATGCTGTTTTGTTCATTTTTCATATATACAATCAATTTACAAAATGGATAAAAGAGGTGAGTAATAATATGGAACATTCCTTAAGAGAGACAGCTCTAAAATAAACAAAGCAATGGAGTCAATCCAACACCACCTTGCCATTGGGGGGTTAAAGAAGAACAAAGGAGAGGGAAACGAGAGAGAGGAATGTGCTTCAATCGTTGACGAAGCGACACTTACCTCTGCGCACGATTGCACTGCTGTATGATTCTCAGTGTCCGGTTAGTCTCGACGTTACTTTCGTTCGCTTCGTTATTCACATTATCGGACAGATCGTTCCTATCCATCTCCTCGTCATTTAATCTGGAAGAGCCAGCTGGCACCTCTTGATTCTGCGACCTCGACAGTTGCGCGGCGAGCTTGGGCACATTCGGCTGAAACGCCGAATGACTGGAAACCGTGAAGTTGGACGGGCCGTTACGCGACGTCGACCCCAAGTAACCTTCGTCGCTCGATGATGAACTATCTCCTGAAATAATAATAATAATAATAATAATAAAAGACCTAATCAGCACGATTAGAGAAACAGCAGATAAATCTACTAGGCAATATCTATTGACTGTACAACATCACAGTCGTATTCGCGTGATAGAACTAAAGTATCTCGAAGCAAACCTAACGCTGAAGTCTTAGGAATCGCAACGTCTGACAGCGGTGGAAATGCATGTTGCTAGAAATCACGTAATAACTTAACACTTAGCCAAAGATTCACCACACCTAAATTGTAGATCCAGCCTAAAGTTGAACGTTCGTCATCGCGCATTTTCATTCACGCGAAAAGTTTTCACAATTCCAATAGGTGCTCTAAACCTTGAGAAACTAACCAATCACGGTCGATCATTCTCCTCACATTCGACACTGCGATCGGTCAATTTCTTAAGGCTAATTTCATAACATCTGTTATAGACGGAGACTTACCGATATAAGGTAGTGAGATAAAAGGCGGTCCTAATTTACGCTTCCGCCTCCTGGGTGGCTCGTCCTCGGTATCCGTGGCATCGAAGCGTCTTCTCGTAGCTCTTCCGGGATTTTGATTCCTGTTGCCTCGCGACGAAGCGCTCGCGTTGCCGTCCGCGCCGCGTTCCTCGTTCCTCCTCGTTTCATTGCCGGCTGAGCTCGAGCTGGGAAATACATCGGATTCCGGGTGCAAGTCACTCCGGCGCGTTGCTGCTCCCGCGGGTAGTGACGGATGCAACTCGTCCCCCGTCAATCCGGAACTGGTGCTGGGTAACGGCTCGTCGTTCGCGACGAGCGCCCGCCACTCGGCCTCACTCAAATTTAGCTGCTCGGTGGGGTCGCTCGCGATATGACGGTTCCGCGGTAAAATACCGTACATCGTGAACTCGTCGCGCAACCGCTCGATCCTGGAGCTCGTGTTGGTGAACTGCACCTCCATATTGTTGAGCGCCTCGATCTCGTCGTTCAGAGCGTTGCGGAGCAGCTGCAGACGGGAGTTGCAGTTGTACGAGTGATCGAACAAAGTGGTGGTTTGCCTCTGTAGCCTCTCCCGTAGCTTCTGCAGTCGCACCAAGCAGGAACTGTTGTTCTCGGCCGCGGCGTTCAGTGCCTCTCTCAGATTCTGGAGAGTCGTACCAATCTCCTCCTGCTCGGAGCGCTCCATGAGCAACCGCCGGCAGCGTTGCAGCCTCTCCAAATTCGTATTGTTCGCCTGGGCGCTCGAGTTCAGCTCGTTCCTCAATCTCCGTATGGACGATTCGGTAGCGGTCTCGTTTCTGCCGCTGGACTCCTCCGGATTTGCGGACGACGACGTCTCTGGTATGTCCATGGGGTCGGTGCCGCGGTCGATCTTTAAAGCAAGTTAATATAAAACTTAGAGTTTAAAGGAGAAAGCGGTTTTTCAAATTTTTACTTGGGGTTTTTCCCGGTTTCCTTCCCAACGGTGGAAAAATTCACGTGTGTCTTGGTTGAAACCTGTCATATTTACTTCTTTCCGTAGAGAAGATAATTGCGTGCACTCAATTGAAGTTAAATAAAGTTAACATGTTATGTGTTAAGCAATAACATATTACTTTCAAAGAATTGTATATAATATTATTACAATAAATAATTTCAGGAAATTGTGAGCAAAGTTAAACATTCCAGGTTTTTTTCTTCTCGTGACTTTTCTAGATGTTCCCTAGCATTTTAAATTTCCATGACTTTTCCCGGTTTTCCAAGTCTGCGTGACAATCCTAAAATATGTAATATATATAATAAAGAAGAAAGTATTATCCCTTCTTAATACCTCCACTATTAGATGGCGATTTTGAGTGATTATTTATGGAATCATTTATTTAGTTAACTCGCCGTTACGTAATGACGCTAATATGACAATACATAACAGCATTTGTTATGACGCTTTTTTATTTTTGAACATATCGAAACGTTTTCAAGGTATTTTTAGCATTTAATTTGCATTATTTTCTTATTCTATATTATATTTTCTCATTCTTTTTAAACTGGGACGTATTATCATACAAATATATGTACATTTGAATGTTGTGTTCTTGTATTCGTTACTTAACATTTTATTCGACTGTAAACATTTCAGGTTATGCAAAGATAAACAATAGCATGACACTTTGCTAACATAGCTCCTGATAACAATACCTCTTGACAACTTATTTCTCAAGGTTCTCATATCGGAGTAGTTATTCGACATTAAATCTAATTTGTAATTCACTGCTACATTTCTATTTATACTACACTACTATCCTTCTGACAAATTGTATCTTCTAACAAGCAAGTTAGTATCTATATTAAAAATTCACGGTTATATTATATTCATTGTTATTCCTCTTAAGAGAGTTTATTTTGAATAAATATATAATTTTATTACAAAGCATTCTATATTATTTTGAACAAAACCATTTTTTACTCTATTTTAGTTGAAAGCCATATCACCATCCCTGCTTCTCTTCATCCCATCATGCAATGTCACCACATTTCTTTTTCTTAATAAATAATGTCCTAAATAATAAATATTTCATACCTTTGAGTCTAGAATCGATTGAACAACATTTTGGCGAATTTAACTTCAGTTAAGTGCACGTAATTATCTTATTTGCGGAAAAAAAATTAATTCGACAGATTTTAACCGAACATCCGTGAATTTTTTCAAACGAATTTTTCTACTCATGGAAAGAAACTGAAAAAATCCGCGGAAATATTGAAAAAGAAAAACGTTTTTCCAAGCCTTCGAAACTATAATAAAACTCTTATATGTGAGAGAAGAAAAAGGCCCATATTCTGAACTCTTTCTTATTAAAAAGAAAGTGCCCCTAAAAATAGCTTAGGAACCACCTGGTTGGCTGAGAAGCCACATTTAAGGCACTTTTATCGATGAAAGGCCACGTTCCAAAAGCCTACTCAACGGATGTAGAATAGCATTTAATTCAGCAATTAGGATAGAAAGAGGAAATATCTCTTTATCATGATTGCTTAATTAATGCTACTCTACCTACGTCGAGTAGGATTTTGGAAGGCAGCCAAAGAGAGTTCAGAATACAGGCCAAAGAATCCAGCGAGTCGTGAACATGACGAGCTTGACGAGCGTACAGCTTACCGTATCTCTGTTTCTGTTGGAGACGTCGAAGTAACGTCTCACAAGCGTCACGTACTGATCGACGAGGTTCCTGTAACATAGATTTATCCTCCTCTCCGGATCCTGCGAGTTGCCCCTCTGCAATCTCTCATCCACTCCGACCCAGGCGTTGTTCAGACGCTCGTACAATTCGTCCCTGGGATCCCTGGCGGATGGTAACTGTAACTGCTCGCGGACCGCGTCAACTTCTCGTTGCCTGGCCAGGGCCAGGGCGGCCGACGCCTCGTCGTCATTACTGTCGTCCGCTGATCTATTCTCCGCATTGTCCATATTGTCCAGGCTGACGCCGGGCAGATGAAGATTTCTCGCGATACTCGGACGAGACGTAGCTTCCCTAGTTTGATTCAGTTCTACATCGTGAGACATAAAACTTATATTACGACGAATCTCGAATCGTTACAGTAACGGATGGTGTAGTTTGTGTAGACCGAACATTACGCGACGTCGAATCGCTCGTGCGAATTGGTCGTCTCCGAATCTCACTGCATTAGTAGTTCATGTACGGAGTATGTAATAGCATAAGTATTATATTTTCGTAGTATATAGCACAGCAATATATATAGGTGGTGTACCTTCGGATAGATTTCGTCGTCGTGGAAACCGTGCCTCTTCCTGCCTCAGGCCACCCCTCAACTCCTGGTTATTGTTGTATCGCATCCGAGACATTTCAAGGCCTCTGCGCATGAACAAGTACGCACTGAAAACATTATCGTTCAAATTTCGCGAACTCTTGCTCCAACTGAGTACAATTCGGCTCTCGCATCATGCAGTTTTGAATAAAGTAACAAGCGGTGCGTTCTTTTCAGCTGATCTGGCCGCACCGGTGCGAGAAATTCACGCGTACCGAAGCACGAGAATCTCATATGCGCACACCGTACGTTTCAACATGTAAATTTCTCGGCTCGGTTAAAAGGAACAGTCCAAAGGTGATAATCAATAATATGAATAATTTGAGTACCGGGAAGTCCTCTCCGCGTAATCCGCCGGCCCTCTCCCGTACACGGAGCCATGGTTCCACAAGTGCCAAGGCGGAAGATCGATATCCGGCATGCCTACTCGCGGGTACCTTAAGTTCCTAATTTTTCAGCAATTAATGTCTTATATTTTCAATTATGATATATAAGAATAAAATATGAGAAAAAGTAATCTGAAATTCATTTTCACAAATTCATATGAGTTCAACTTGTATATAAGTAATGCGTATATTATTATATGATGTTCTTACATTAAACTATTTCTAAGTAATTGACCCACAGGAGCACGATCCCATTGTGATTGGACTTGCGGCGTATTTGCGATCCCTGTGATCAATTTTCTCCCTAAATTATCAAAAGCCACGTATCTGCAAGTTTTACAAAGTGATGTGGAATCGAAACATATGTCTCCAATATCTATTCACATACATAACGTCAAGTTACTCCCTTGTGCCTTTCTCATCTATCATTTCTTTTCATACCGTCTATCTTAAACTCTTCGAATTGAGCTGGACACTTCAAAGCTAAATACAATCGTCGAGGACGGAATACTTTAATGGACCGTTGCGACATTCGGCGAAAAAAATAACTTCTTGAGAGAGAAAAAGCGAAAGCAATGAACACTGAGGTTTTAAAATGAAATCTTATTTATTATCATCATAAAAAAAAATATGTAAAAGAGACATGAGTATAAACGTCCATCGCAACGGTCGATAATTGTAGCTTGTATGAAGAGTATAAATTTGTCGAAAAAATTTGTCAAACAATACAATATCAAACAATATGCGTCCGTAAAACTCGAAAAGTTAAATCTTAATCGAGATAAATACATTACACACATACCTCACTTTTTCCTTCTCAGTCTTTGTAGTAGCCACAGCAAAGGGTTGAGATTTGCTCCAGTCCCAGAAATGTATCTCATTGTATGTCGCAATGACTAACAGCCGTTCAGATGGATGAAACGCTAATGAAGCTATAACAGTTTGGCTCTCAGCATTCCATATTTCGCTACCACCCTGTGTGAACAAAATCACCATTAATTGTTGAATCTCTAACCATTTAATGTTTCAATATATTATGATTTCGAGGATTTTATGCACTTACGCTTAAATCCCATACGCGAACTTGGCCTCCTAAGCAACCAGACGCTAAGATCTGACTGGAAGATGGATGAAAAGCTATGCACCACGGAGTACGTGGATGTCCAGACAGAGTTCTAATATTCTTCCCTGTTGTAATTTCTGTGATGTAAACATTATGATTCCCATGGGTGGATGCTACCTTGGTCCTGAAATTATTTGCAATATGAAGATTTGATTTGCCGCAATATTAACTTACAATGCCATTCGATATATACACGATATTAAATTGCTGTACATAAATAAAAATTTATCATAATTAATACATGCACATATATGCACATCTTACCCATCAGGACTAAAAACCATCAAGAATGTAGCTCTAGGAACACCAGGTAACTCACATTTCTACCAAAAGAACAACATTACTTTAATCATTAACATATTACTATACATAAGTAAAAAAATAGAATTAAATATTTTTATCCCATCATTATTAACCCTCTAATGTTAAAATTAAGATTGGATCCAACCCTATGCTCTACTTTATTCATTTTTTATCTAATTAATGCACGAAATTGATAAAAGAAGTAAAAAGAGACATGACGCTTCTCCCTATTTATTTATAAATGAAAAAAATGTTACAAAGTTTACTGACTTTAAATAATTGCTGTAAAATACTTGGAAAAACGCTCTGATATTCTGAAAATTCATCTTGCCATTGGGGGATTAATTCAACTGTTATTAGAAGGTTAATTTTAACCATTACATAAAACCAACTGATAAAAATGGAAACCTGGGGAATACAGAAGTACATACCAATTCCTTATGGTCCTTTAAAACCAGATTTGTCTCAGCTATTGGTTCTAATTCACGTGTGCTAGTTTTATGCGTTGTGCGTAATCCGAAATCTCTTAGCATTAAGTTACGTAATACATTGCGTGACTTGCTGCGGTGGAGCAATTCGGGTTTCTTCTTAACCTTCCCCATTTAGTGGGCCGTCTTTGCAACTACTAAACAAATTACAAATATCATATACATGGTGGTGCATAATATATGATAGCATAAAGCTGTAACAATTAAATTAATAACCTTACATCTATACCTCTTCCCCTATAAATCTATCCTGCAAGAGAATCAATTGCACAAGTTTGTTCTTTGAAAAAAAAACTACTGCAATCCCAAATGGCAAATTAAATCTGTACATTACTGCAGTTCACAGCGACGCAATCGTTATTAAGTGGGATCTCGAGAAGCCCAGATATCGGGGAGAGAAGGTAGACTTCAAAAAAGGGGGTGTGCGCTAATTGCAACTATGTCTTGAGGTAAGGTAAGACGACGCAATTGCACGAGAAAGATTAACTGTACGAGATGCAGGACCCGTCAGTGACATCGAGCGATTCACGCGCGCTTAGTCGACGAGTCCACGGCGAGATATCGGCCACGCTAATTAATCGCTGAGAATCACACGTTCGTCGGACGTGCCTGCGACGGCAAATGGAATTCGTGACAAATTCGCGGTTACGTTTTTCTCGCGTCCGAGACGCTCGCACCGTTCATTCTCGCTCGCCGAAATTTTCGGCGAATTTGGATTTACCTGCGAATCACCGTTCGAAGCCACATACATAGGAAACCGTCCACTTCGTGTACACGGCGAACGCGATATTTTTCCCGTCACATACTTGATCGAAACATCCTCTCCTTCTCCACCACGATTCGTTTGCAGTTCTCCCGTGAAGCAGTTCCGCTGACGAACCAGCCGGAGTCATGAGCTGTCGGTCACGTTTGCGACCATGATGAAGTTCATCATGTATCATTAGATGACGTTTCGCGCTAGACTGCTAACGAATAATCGAATAGCCATTGGGTGACGGTCGGTAACGTCAGTAGCGCTTCCCGTCGTGTCGATTGGCTCGTCCGTATAGGGAATTCCCAAGAGTCTTGGGGAAGTTTTTCGAACTCTTCCGGAAACTTCTATTCAATACTTAGTCGGTACATTCACCTCACCTGAACTCGGAACGTATTTGTTGATGGTATAGTCCAGATCGTCGTATCGAGTAGTTCGTCCCGATTCGCTATGGTGCATTTTTTTTCCAAAATTTGCAAGAGTATTTATTCATTACAATAATATAATACAATATACTCCGATAGTTTCAATCGTTGTAAGAGATATAACATGTATATATTCTCCGCATAACAAATTTCTGCTTGTATACCCCCGACAGCTCGCGAACACACATTCAAAATTCCTTATATACAATTTCCAGTAAAATAATTTTTATAAGAAATATCACCGGAGCCTCCACTAAAATATATATCCGTATATGTACAATTGAATTGTATGACTAGTTAATTTAAAGTAGGACACGACCGCTGAGAGCATTTTCTCTCAAACATTTAGGCGAAATCTGTGAGACAAATATTAAGACACTATGCCGCTGCTGCTGCTTCTTTTTCTTCTTCCTATACTTAATGATCTAATATACGCAGATTGCCCGATACGATTTTATTTTCCAAGACGGTTCCGGAAGGAAGGTCTATACGTTCTCCGTGATTAGCAATTATAATAACGGTGCCTTTCAGCGTCACTCCCTTTCCGAAAGTAACATCGCCCGACACTGTTAAGTGATCCAATTCGAGGAGGTCTGGTATCGTCGGAAATCTAGTCAAAAATTCCTTCACCTGTGTGACATAAAAAAGAAAAGAAAATGATTCTGGTGAGAGACTTGTCATTTCATATAAAGTAAAAAGTCCTGCAAGGTAGACTTTCTCAAACAGAATGTCACGGGAGTTAGCAAAGATTGAAATAAGAAGTGTTTTTCTGCTCACTTTCGAAAAATGGTTGTCTCCTAATTTAATGAGAGGCGTTGTGGGGAACATTCTTTGAGGGCTCATTACGAGTGATCCGTTACGCAGAGTGTACAGATTACTCATCACGAGCATCAGGTCGGAAGTCTTCTTCACCGGCAAGAATCTACTACGTGGCACATTAATACCTGCAATATCGGAAAGTTCGATTCAAAACAACATGAAATAAAAAAAAGAAACTAATGAAGAATTAACTCTGTCACAAAACTTACCGATACTTCCTTCGAATGATTTCATAGCAGCTCCCACAGCTGTCTCAAGTTGTATTACATTTAGACCGTTAGCAAAAGTCTTATTATTCACAATTATCTCCATATTTAACGCGTTCTTTTCAAGTACTCTTTCAATGGCTATTAAAAAAAAACAAACAACTTGTTAAATTCCACTTATTAAATGTAACTTCACTTATTTAAGGTAAAGCCTTAGATACATATATTCATTAAACGTCCACTTATTTAACAAGATAAAGTCTCGCACATATATACCACTGAGTTTAATCCAGAGGTTGTTGGTGTTGAAAAACTTGAAAGTCTTAACGGATTTGAAATCATCGACGTGATCCTTAGGAACTTGAGCTATTTCGAGAAGACGAAGTTTGTCCTCGTATTTTATAAGCGTACCACCCTGTGTGTAATCACGAAGTAAAACATATAATTATATAATCAATGCTGTTTTTTTCTCCCATCCAAGAGAATTCCAGATATCCAACGAAACGCACCTTGACATCCGCTCGCGTCTTGTCGGTTACTTCCATGACAAATTCCATGGGCGGCTCTGGTCCATTACTTAACAATAATTTCAAAATTTTCATGTCTACTGTGGCACCGAGATTGTCTATATTCGAAATAAAACAATATTCACGGCCCTGAAAATACATTCAAGTTTATTTCTCATAAGTAGACCCGTTATCGCTTCATTTAGAGGTATAAGAATTTCATACCTCTCGAATGAATTTCTTCAGTAAACCAGAATTTTGAAAGCTCTCGTAGAAGTCCCCGTGACCGGGTGGATACCAGCTGTTGACAAATTATACATTACTCTTTAACAATTTCTTAATACATCTATTAACAAGTATCAATCGTAATAATTTCACGAGAATCGCCTTACGCTTCGATATCCTCATCAACTTGACAGTGTTTGGCGATCGGGAGCAGAGAATCCCTATTTATGCGCGGATAACAGCTTTGATTGAAAGTATGAATGTCTATATCGATCCCTTTGTACTTCCTGATTATGCGTTGAGTATCGTCATCCGTGTTGAATGAATCCATTAGTATAAGTGGCACATTGGCATTGTAAGTTTTATTCAAATGCTATGCAAACACACACAATGAAAAAAAATGCACTGTATTATATATATATATATTAATTATTATAATCTTATAATCGTCATATAAGACCGATATGTGAACAAATATTCAAGCATAATAAATAAAGTATATAAACTAAAATTTAATATTAAGATACTTCAATTTGTTGAACATTGTGATTTTAATATTAAGATACTTCAATTTGTTGAACAGTGAGATCCAAAAAGGTGAGTCCATTTCGCACAGCGATGACTGATTTTGGCCCATGACATCCCATGCTCGTTCCAAGGCCGCCATTTAATTTAACTACGACTAGTTTATCCAAAAGAGCCTTGACTTCTTGTTTCTCTGGTGATGGCAAAGAGTTGTAATCCTTCACCTATAAAAGAATCAAACATAATTTAATTTAGAAATAAAAGTGTGTGAAAAATCAGTCGGATCAGTCGAATTGATTTAATAAATAAATTAAAATGAATAATATATTCTAAATCCTTAAGGAAAATTAAAATTAAGACTCAAGAAAACTAAATAAGTAACTATAAGAATATTTCAAAAGATAAAAAAAGATATAATTACTTACATATAAGATATATATCACTTTAAAGAATAAAAAGTTCAAATGAAAAGAAATGACTTAGTGATTATAAAAAATGATTTAACAAAGAAATATGATGTTAATAAGAAAGGAAATGTTCTCAAAAATTCTCCAAACTATTTATATCCAAATTGAATCTTTAACAATTGAATAAAAATGTTTTGGGGAATGTTTGAAGATACTTTTTTATCCTTATTAACATCATATTTATTTTATAATACTAATAAATTTACGGTAAAACAGGACGACTTTGGGGTCCTTTAAACAAAAAAAAAATCGATCCTTGAACTCGCAATTTTTCCAATTACTTACCGCCTCCTCGGGCAGTTTCTGAATGCGATCCCATTCCAAGGACGGGCCTTCCTCTTGCAGAAATCGCTCGAACAGATGCTTGAATCCAGCGAACTGTCGGTCGATTATCTCCCTCTTGTCCTCAGTGGCAGTAGCCTGCAGCTTCTCGAGTTCCCGCTGCAGTTCGGTCTGCGCGTCCCTCTTCGTACGCTCACGAAACGCCTGCGTATCTGAAGAGCTGCGTTGATGACCGCGTACCTGCGGAGTGTCCTCTAAGATAACGAGAAATATAAGGGAATTTACCTATTCTCCTTATGAAATCCTTCCCTTCCGCGCCAATAACGTCGCTGGTGGAACGCAAGAGCGTGTACATGACGATGATTGCTTTAAAACCGCAGCCGTAAAAAAAAAATAATTCAGTCGAAAAAAATTGGGGAAAAAATAAATCGTGTATATGCGTGTTCGCAAGGTGAATATCGACGATATGTGGAACCGATGCGCTCCTTATTAAAAAAAAAAATTCGTCAAAATTCTCGTGTACAAATCTAGCGTTGTGCAAAATCAGCTGCGTGCGTAACTATGACACGTTGTAAATAAATCTTCCGTGCTCTTTTGTCCCTTCCTCCCTCTCTCTCTCTCTCTCTCTCTCTCTCTCTCTCTCTTCCCCCGTTTTCTATCCCCTTTAAAGCACGACGAATCGTCTTTTGTTAAAAAAAAATGCGATAGGAATCACGCGCTCTTCTTTACTAAAGACGCGTCGTTCGGTACGAAGTCTCGAAAGACGAATGAGCCTCGACGGTAGCCCACGTTCCATACGTACATGACAGATACCAACACCACCGAGTAGAGTCCAAGCCGCGTGTGTGAGGCAAATGATAATCTTGAATGAAAATTGTCATGACAACACAATATTTGCTCCGCCACGCGGTTGAAGTTAAACGTTTTGCATACAGCGGAGGATTTAATTGTCATTTTAATATCATTTTCTTTTTCCTTAATTTGGTGATATCAGAGCAAGCGTATTTTCGAGCATTTTCTTTTTTCACGAGTAAGAGAGTTATCGCTTTAAATCCTTCTTTTCTTTATGGATAAGGCAAGTTGAAATACAACGCATCGGGCAAGACGTGAACCTTGAGAATTTAAAAGTTTAACTTTCAAATCTACCGCGATAATAGCTCGTTCCTTTTTATCGCGACAACCGTGTCTAATTAGCATTAGAAAGAATGATAGCATCTTAAAAGGAAATTTGCACGTGTACTGTCTGCGCGCGAACAATCCGAAAAAATGGAAATCGGATGGAATTTGAGGCTGAGAACGGGGATGTTCATTAAGTAATGAAAATGTTAAAAAAAACTTTAAGCATCGGTCGAGCCGTGTTGCGCATGGCGGGCTGCGGATGGCACTTCTATGAAATAATTACTGATATCTGTTGAGAAAGTATTGGCCTCTATGTTAACCCTCGTGATAAGATAACTTGGAAACGCGTGGTTATGTAGAACTTATATCTTTTCGTTTTATACCCAAGCTACGAAAAATGCTAGTCAAATAACCTTGAATTAGGTGAATTAGGCATAAATGAAAAATATTATTTATATCCAAAAAACTCAATTCTTTCAACCCGTTGATTAGATGTTTATTTGTATTTTTTTGCAAACACCGTTGGTGCCTCCCGCGAATTCTTCGATTCTATCTCTTACTCGATCACTCTATGATGTGTACGTGTGGCTTAGAAAGATTAAGAAAATATGATTCACTAATTAACAGCGATCGTTCTCTTGCGATCGTGCGGAGAACAGACATGATCGCTATAAGCCGCTTCGCGAAATTCATTTATCCGCGGTACGATCGCCAGAACTTAGACGACTAAGAACAGCCAGTGCAAACGATCATATCATCGTATGACGTTACACACTCGAGTCAACGAGTTCCCCTATCATCGGCTTACATAACAATGAATTAACGCGTCGCAGAATCTTATATAAATCGTGCATCGTCTTACTTTTACAGAGAAACGAGGCGCCGCGGTTCTCGACCTCGGCCGGTCTCGAATCTCGGATCGTCTTGTTATTTGTACATTGACTCATTGAAATTGAGTCATTAAATAAACACAGAGATAAGGATATTGCGGGGTATCTTTTCACGTGACTGAGAAGAGTCCAAACTCACTCTCGTCAGTTTATCCCGATGAAATATATCTCTGAGAAAAAGCTCATGTAAAACTCGTATTCGGGACGAATTGTTAAAATTGCTGCGAGCAGATCGACGGGGAATGCAAACAACTGAATATACACTGTATATATTCTCTCGCTGGAATTAATTTTGAATTAATCTCCTCGGTCGCTTGATCACTCTTTTTTCTTTTGCGAATCGCGTTTGAAACGTTTAGAGATACAATACGTTCATTATTCAGTCGTATTTAACCTGGGAATAGTCACATCACTCCCGATTAAAAGTCGCTATTATTAACAAGATATAACGTATTATCGATTGCTCTATGATTTATTATTATTTAGAGACGTTATAAATGTAAACTTACTCGCTAGTTTTTGAAAAAAAGAATGAAGAGAAACCAAAAAAACATTTAAGAAACGGATTGCAAGCATGTCAAATGTTCGTGATATTTTACGTGAAAATAAATAAAGTATTCCCGAGTTAAGAGAATCAACTTCGTCACTGGGCCGATGTCTTCGTGCGTACATCTGTCGGGATTTCTAACAGTGACACAGTTACATCGCGGCACGCGTGCAGAATGAAAGTGTTTGTAAATACGTTTCAGCTGATCTTCACGCTAAGTCGACAACAATACCTCAATACAATAATTCCCGCGGCCTCGAGCGCTCGCAATTCTACAATCTGGTATGACAATCGTTGGGGTTTTCTTTTGAAAAAAGTACATCCAACTTCCCCAATTTCGATGCCGATTGCAGCTCGACAGTCGAAGTTCGTTCGTTTACGAATGTAACGAGTGTATCATCTTGCAAAGAAGGCTTGAAAATCTACTCTGAATCTTCGCGAGTTCACTTCAGCGATCGTGCGACGCGCGAATTTAACTGGAGAGAGGTCGAAGTGATTAACATCGATACCGGCTGCTACATATGATTCAATTTTGACACGTTATAAATAAATTATCGCACGAAGAACGTACCCCGCGATATACCCGCGCGATACCTTGTGCGATAACGGAATAGAGAATCACTTTTTACTCGGTATGCCACGAGTAAGCGGAACGTAAGCGTATGTATCGCGTCATTTCATAATCGTTATCGTTGTCCGTTTGACGTTAGTTAATAATATGCAAGACACTAATACTAACGGAATATGTAAGCTAACGTGAAGCGTCGCTTGGAAAAAAAAAAAAAGTCATTCGGACGTTATTACGGGCGCGCTCTATTTGCGCGTTTACTACTTACTCGCAATAAGTACTCCATGTGCGATATCTTGTACACTCTCTTCTGACGGCAGGCGGTTTGTGAATGAGCGGAGGACACGGAGGCGAGAGAATCATGAGAATTCATGATAAGTGTTGTACTTGAGAGATTCGAGCAATCGGCGTGGGAGGGCGTTAAACACGAGACGAACACGTGGGTTTACGCGTCAAAAACGAACGAACGAACAATGAGAAGGAAGTAGACAAAATGCGGCGATATATAGAAATACGGCGCGCACCGTCTCTCTCTTTCTCTCTCTCTCTCTCTTTCTCTACGGTCTCAGACAATGATATTCTCCGTAACGTCAGTGTTAGCGTTTCGTAATGTAACGTGTCTTCTGAAACATGTTCCTTATATATCCTCACTACCTCCTTCTCTTTGTATATTTACGACAGTAAGCAGAAGCAGAAGTTGTTTTTATTGTACTTTACGTAAGCCAAAATGTAAATGGTCGATTTTCTTACTTCGGACTGAATAACTAACCTTCTTCTTGCAATTTTACTGCATAAAATATAGCAATGCAGCATCTACTAGTTGTGATACATGACCCCCAAAATACTCGTGTAACATTGTACACGCGTATATCAAATGGAAATTTCCATTTAGCAACTGATTGTCCTTTACAGAAAATTTTCTTCCCTATTCCAAACCTGTCTCTTCATGTCTTCAACACTCTTCTTATCAATTCATAATACTTGTGCAAATATTTAAAATTTAAATTGCCGAATATGAAGGAATGTTAAAGAACAAATACGAGAGTTTGTAAAGATTCAAGTTCGTACTGGAAAAAAATATGAATGAGTAAAAATGTCTTATGTACAAGTGAAAAAAAGACAAAATAAATAAATATGTGGAGTCGAAACGCGGAGTTGTCCTCAAATAGGTGATTTTTTCATATGAGAAAATATATTTTTGAATTCACATACACAATAGTCACTAGAGATTAATTTTAAAAAACCAGAAAAAAATTATAATTAAAATTGAAGTCAACTATGATATTTTGATAGCTTTACGTTTTAAACACGTTAACAAAGATAATCGCACTTGCTCACAAGAGGGAGATAACAACTTGATAAAAATTTAATACATCTACGACCTCGTTTTTCGACAACACAATTGGTGATAAAAAATCTCAAGATATGCAAACGTGAGACGTAATATGAACCACTTAGAAATGAACGACGTAGAAAAAAAAAATTTTAAATATACAGGGTGTTCCAGATCAACATAGGCAAACTTCGTGAAGGAGTAGAGCAAACTGGGGTGAACAAAAAAGTCCCCTATCATTTTGTAAACAACACGCAAGATTCCGAGTTATTAATGATTGAAAATGGCCATGTATAGAGGTTTTTTTCAATTAATAACTCAAAAATGTATGTGTTATTTGTAAAATGGTACAGAACTTTTTTGTTCGAAGTGACCTAATCTAAAAGTATGTGAAGCTGTTGTACGTGGCAACCTGAATTGGGTAAATTAATTTTGGTTTTTAACTAAGTTAATAAAATTATCTTTTTATTTAAGGAGATATATTTTCTTAAATAATAATTTATACAATAATATATAAGTATTGCGATTTTACAGGATGCATCTTTCAGCAGTCTAACAATCAGTTTAATCTAACAAAATGCAGATATTAGTACTTAATAAAACAGTAGATAAATAAAGTAATAAATTATATTAAAGTTTAATATTGCAAAACATAATAATTATTATTATAAAATAATTATTTTATCATCTGTGCATATAAGGTCACTAGTATACACGCAACTTTAATATTGATGAAATAGATCAACTGAAATAAATAAAAAAGTTAAAGTTAATACGTAAAAAATCACTAAGTTTAAGATAAAAATTAATTTATTTAGGCTTAACTAAATTGAGTTAAAAGTTATTAACTTTTCATATTTTAATTTAAATTTTAAACTTTTTTGTTTGTTTTAATTTAATGTTTTAATTTAAATTTTAAACTTTTTTGAAACTTATTACCCAACCCTGCTAGCAACGGACATCAGTATATCGAACTTTAAACCATTAGGTACAACAGTTCTATTCATTTGCATCCTTGTAGATAAGGCAGCTTTGAACAAAAAGTCCCAAACCATTTTGCAAATAACACGCAAATTTTTGAATTACTAATTAAAGATGCCTCCATATATTTCCCCATTTTCAATAATAATTCGAAATTTCGCGAGTTGTTTGCAAAATGGTACAGGACTTTTTTGCTCACCTCAATCCGTTCTATGTCCTTACCAAGTTTGTCCATGTCGATCTGGGGCATCCTGTAGAACTGAATTCTGCAAACATATACATTACTATAAATAATTCAATTTTTTTCAAATATGTAAATCATCCTTTGCTGACGATGTGTAATACATAAGCAAGTAAGCTTATTTATGGATACAAGTAAAACATGGAGCCGTGAAGGTTATTTGAAATTTCATTCCCGTTTTTTTCGAGCAAATAACAGACACAAAGGAGACATGAAAGAGACATATGTAGAAATTTGTATGAATGAATTGTTTTCGCTGATATATAAATATGATAATAATTTACTTAATTAGAAATTATATAAAAATTTTCTTACACGTTCGCCTAATCCTGCAAAAACTTTCAGGCCGAAAGAGGGAGAGGGGGAAGAGAGAGAGAGAGAGTTTGTTATTATATGTCAAGGTAATCCGCATATAACCTTCAATCGCGCTTTGACAGTCAAAAAACCAAGTTAACAAAAATGACAGCTGTGCATGGGAACCCGTGCGATCCTGACAACTTTGATTACCGGACCACTTCGTAAACTTGTTATCAATCCCATAAAATGAAAAACGATAGAAAATGCAAAAGATAGAGTACGCGCACGAGCGCGTATGTGTGTGTATGTACACACATCATTGCGGCATAATAAAAGCTAATTTGCAAATAATGTTACACCGACATTGATAAAATGAAAACAAAAGCTTGGAAATTTTCTTAGAAATGTGAATACTCACCTTCCTGTCGTCAACTTGCAACATCTTTTATCAGCTCCTAAAACTTAATGATGATGAACACAAATGTACGATATTTAGAAGGACGTCCTTTACAATATCGGAAGGTCACGGTGATGCTTGGACTACTGCCACTCTCGAACACTTTCGAGCGTGCTGACGATGGCTACTGAGCACCGTATAAAATATTCAAAACCGTTACGAATGATTCCATATTTACTTCGAATGTATAGAATACCCTCGGTCCGAAATGCGCCGGCTTACACCGCTGTTTAAAAAAATACAGATGATACGACGCCGCATGTGATAATATGTCATCTTGGTTGCACCTTTGACACTTTGTTTCTGACCTCTTTCTTCCCCCGAAGCCCGAATCTATCTTCGATCTCTCTCTTTCGAATGCAGAAACTCAGCCGAAAAGTGCAGTCGCCATATTGACGGAAGTGTAGCAAGATAGTCAATGGGAATTCGATGGAAGTATCGATCCGAGATATCGATTCTCGTAACTGTTGATATGTTCCTTTTAGTTACACTTTCAATACTTCTCTCTTCTCTCGGTCCGTTCTTTTTAATAACGTTTACCGCACCATACATAATATACATACGTTTCATACGCTCCAGTGCGTGTGTGTGTGTGTGAATTTCTCGACCAGTGAAGCTGACTCAGCCGAAAAGAACAGATCAGTTTTCTCCCCTCGACGTTAAAATCCAGAAGTATACGCCAATCAGATCCTCGAATCAGCAACTGCCAACGAGCGCTTCGTGTCCGGCTGAACGTAACCATTACAATAATCGAAGCTCGTACAGTAGAAAATACATGAGCAAGAATTAAACTTGCGGAAACACGGTACGCGCGTCGGAACGAATATCTGCGAAGATAAAAGAAAGGTACGAATTTAGCGGTACTGCGATAGTCTACGAACCATCGCGGATACGCTCTTATGATTAAACTTTATCTTTAGCAACGAGCATGGCTGAGAAATGTGCCGCGAATATTGACGACGATGGAGATTGTCCGGCGCCAAAGAGGGCCAAATTGGCCACCGACGACGACGATGACGACGACGGCAGGAAAAACGACTCGATCGAGAAAGTGGACGGCGTGTGTGAACATACGAATCTGTCGGGTTTCAAAATGACGAGGGTGCTTCAGAATAATTGCGCGCGTAAGCTGATATGCGTGGAGGGGACGTTTGAGGATCGCGCAGACCCAGCTATCGTTTTGCTGGAGCAAAAGAGTTTCCCCAACGATGAGATGTTCCTGAAGAAGGGCTTCTTCAGTGAAAAAGCGACTTATCAGAAGAACTGTGCGAACGACGTCTATGAGAATTACGATTGTTTCCCGGCCCAGGAATATAACAGTAAGTTGATGTATAATTGTTGAGTGATTATTGTTATTATCGTTTAGCAATTATTGCTTCACAAAGTTCTGATGTATTTGTCAAAGGCCTACACGCTACTGTGATACATCCTGCTACACCAACTCAAATCGAAAAGTACAAGAGGCAGGAATCGTTGCATATAGTAGACGAGACGTACGAGCTCTATCAGCAAGTTACTCTCCCTTACATAGAGTCTAGGAGCTTGAGTTTAGAGGTATGTGTGGTTTATGTAAAATATGTAATATTGTTATCAATTTGATCCTATTATTATGATCAGAGCAATGGGATATTTATATTTTTAAATGTTATTTCTTCTCCAGTGGATAACTAATATTCTCGAGCACAAAGCTGAAGAAGAGAATATTATTTATGAGGACACTGACAAGGAAACTGGTTTTATCCTAGTAACAGATTTCAAATGGGACAAACGGCTCGATACATTAAAGCTGTTAGCCTTGCCCTTGAAAAAGATAAAATCAATAAGAGAACTAGATGTGTCTCATCTTCCTTTATTAAGGAATATACAAAAAGCCGGGATTGAGGCAATTAGTAAAAAGTTCAATATATCTGCCTCACAGCTTAGAATATACTTTCATTATCAGCCTTCTTATTATTATCTACATGTACACTTTTGCTATCTCATGTTTGAAGCACCAGGTAAATCTAGATTTAGTAATACTTTGATTATTATTATTTATTAATTTATATATGTATATATATAAGAATAGTATATATTTGATATATATGGCTAATATGTTATATTCTATTTCACTTATTCATTCCTCTTTATTTAGGAATATACGTGGAGAAGGCACATCTTTTATCAACTGTTATAAGAAACTTAGAATTGATGCCGGACTATTACACAAAGGCTGTTCTCTCATATATGGTGCGTAAAGGCAGCCAACTTTATAAGAAATTCCAGTCACACGGAGCCCTACCACAGGATGCTAACGTATAAAATGCACAAGACTGTAAATAGTGTAAATGAGATCGCTTTATCTATAAAAAGTAGATAACTCGTATTTTGTATTTGTTTATGATGACATGGTATTGATATGTATTTTACATAATTGTACGGATTATAGAAATCAAATATAATCCACATTATATGACTTAAAAGTACAAGTGTAGTATTATTTAAAGACAGTTTTTAAAATGATAATTAAAGACAAGAGTATTAAAAATGGAATGTAGGATAATTAACAAACTTATAAATGAAAGAAGTATGGAATATGCAATACATACATGTATGTGTGTTGTGTGTAATCTCATTTATATACTTATATGAATTGATGGGAGAGGATATATATATATATAACTTAGTCCATTTTCTAATTATAAATTCAAGTTACATAAATTTTTTATAACAGAATATTGTATAAAAAAAATTTATAAACTTATATGATATATATACAATTGTGAAATCAGAAGTTTATCCGATAGAAACTATACAGGAAAATAGGTAAAGGATATACGCGTAGCATGTAACAGTTTTATGGTAAGGGTCAAAATAATAAATACTTTATTACTTGTAATTTTTATCATCTGTCGCTTTTAAACCTTTTTATTATTTGTATACGTGTATGATGCGTTGACACATTCAGAGAGCAGTAAAATATCTTCGGAGCATGAGAAAAAAAGCTCATATATAATGCTGCATATATACATAACACATACATGCATATATTTGTGTGTATGTGTGTATATGTATTTCTTTATTAAAAATTTTGTCACATAATCGCGTGTAGTGCAGACTTCTTTAGATTTACGATGACGGATAACCGTCTTTATATTTGATACTAAAACCGAAATATATTTTCAAAACTAATAGGAATATGTGTGTGTATGTACGAATATGTGTGTGTACACAACTGTGCTTTAAACGTTACACATAACCCAGATATGTTGAAATTAAGGGAAACTCTTCGTATTGCTGTGTTCCGTATGATATTGTCAGCTAACATGCCTGCTCGTTCTCATATTGCTTGTAGTTACGATTATATCGAATGCGTCTTATACTGTTTTACAAATGAGATCAACAATTGGATTCTACGAGTTAAACCGATACTTCTACAGATAAATCATCGATGTAGAAATTCATTTGCTTCCGCTGAGGAAAGTAACATTTATCCGAAATATCATATCCGAGTGTGAGTATATGAAATGTACGTCGGATATTATATCGCTAGTCTTACCATTAAAATAATTTAAATTTTCGCGCATCGTGAGAAAATTCCCCTCCTTGTTTTCCATTTAACGCCACAAAGGAAGTGGATATTATATGGAAAAATCGTGCGATAAATTAAAAAAAATCCGTCGTGTGAGTTTCATACAAAAATGTAACGAAAGATTGGAGTCTCTCAATGCTTCCTTGTAGTTGCTTATGTATAAATTATACGCATTGTCGGTTTACGATGTTTATTTTAATAAATATTGCTACGGAGTATATAGCGGTACATGGTACACAATGAAAATTAATTCACATTATTAATATCAATAATTCTCCTAGCTCCTTATAATATTTTGGAAATTGCAATATTCTCGAATGACTCAACTATTAGCGAAAATTAAATACTGCGCGCAAGAGATACCGCTGTATAAATTAGTTTCCTCAGAAATTTATCACTTGCAACAGGCCCCCTTTCGCACCTGGACCTATAAAATGATTACGTAGCAACACGTAAAACAACATTGCTACTCGGAGAAATTTATACTATGTCGCCTTGATATATCCCATATAAAGTTTAAAAGATGCATGTCCTCTCCAACTCATACGCGTTCGAAACAGCTCTCTCTCTTTCTCTCTCTCTCTCTCTCTCTCTCTCTCTCTCTCTCTCTCACTCACTGGAACATATAGCAAGGAGGGGAATTGTAATTTGTTTACACTTGTACTCGCTAATAGAGGAAATTTGTTTGTAAATATCTTCGAAAGGATGAGAGGAGAATTTATATAAATCGTGTAGTTTTTCTTTTTTTAGTACGAAAACAAAAGTCAAATATATTCTATGTGACCGACTGAGAGATAGACAAAAAATATGCAAAAGAGAACTATTATATATAAATACAAGATCGTCTCAGCATATCACTCCACGGAAGTGCTGTTGTTCGAACAGGGTTTCAAGCTCGGTATGAGTTACGAACTAACTGTGGTAGAAACGCATGTACGATAATAGTGGCGTATTATAGTTGATGTTCTCTGCATGTTGCGTTGCAATGTACGCGTTTACGGTCAATCGCAAGATAAGTTTTTCATCGTATTCGATTCTGTTCTCTCTCTCTCTCTCTCTCTCTCTCGCTCTTTCTCTTTACACACTGCCTCGCTGCGCATATGATATATATGAAGCACGTAGAACTACCTGCGTGTTTCTTCGAGATTAGGCGTTGTTTTACACGTTGATTTACACGTTCATTACATGTGATGTGAGAAACGCACGTCTTGATCCGTTTTATCCGCGTGTTTACAATACGTTAAAAATGTTCCCCTCAGCGACGTCTCGCATTTTTTCTTTTTTTCACTTTTCACAATAGTATAAGGGCATTTGCGTGTACGGTGTCGCGATACATATGAGATGAGATCAATAGCCGTGTGTTATTGTTGCACCCAACAACATACATTCGTCTTCGGCGATAACTTAAATGCTAAATAAAGGGATAGAAATAAGTACACATTGTCGTAAGCGTTGGAAGCGCACAAGAACATTAGTTTTAACAACCAACATGTATAAAAAAAAGAAGACTTCTATCGTAATGATTTTCCGTTAACTTTGAAACATCGACCAGACTTAACACCGAGAACTTGGAGTGTAAATTAAAAAACTTCTTTTATTTTGTCGTCTCGCCAACTTAATAAATTAACTATGTAATATCAAAGAACCTACAAATTATATATATATATATATATATATATATATATATATATGTATTCAGGAAGCAGATATTACAAGAGTACCCTGAATTTGTGCACACCTCTCTCTCTCTCTCTCTCTCTCTCTCTCCCTCCCTCGCATTCAAAAAGAGCGCAAAATGAAAAATAAAAAAATTAAGTACTTATGCTTGATATACGCGTCTTTCCCCTCTTATCACGCAAAATTCGAATAAAGCATCTGGAAATAGGAAAACTTACCTCTACGGCGATCGATTAATTATCATCATTATTAATTTATTATGGTAAGAAACATCATTGTATAACTAAAATAATTATACATATATGTGTGTGTATACGCGTAAATAACTGCGTATGTTTGCTGACGTACGCACGCGATATGTACGAGTATACACAAATAAATATGTAAAGAGCGAACGTGTGTGTATGTGTGTGTATATATGTATATTTACACGTGACATGCGTGTACATGTACATTTTGTGTGTTGTGTGTGTGTGTATTTTCATGCACTTGTGTATGTATATATCACAATAACTCAATGTGTACGATATTATCGCGTTAAATAATTAATTAACTGCTCATCAAGCCAGCCTTCTCGATGGAATTAAACCCATAAGTAAATCAGCCAAAACGTAAACAAAGAAAAAAAACGCTACAGTACACCCTGGTCAGGTACAATTATTCGTGATATTACATATAAATGGTTTGAACAAATCGAATGGTCTGCCTGGACTATAATTTTTCGAAAGTATACATACATCATCGCTTTTAGTATCTAATTCTCGTTACATATCGTGAAATATCGGCGCGAATACATCCGGGACGTAAGTTAATAGTAACTTTGTGTAGCAAAAACTGACTATGCAAACACGCAAGTGCCCTACAACAGTCACGCTAATGCGTTACGACGGTATCAAAGTTTTCCTTTGGCGATATAATTTACACATCATCATATCATATCGTCACTGTGGTATCCGCACGTAAAACAAACGTAAGCGCACGCAAACGCCAAATCGAAACTCAGTACAAATTTATTCGCCAAAGAAAAACGCAGTTCTTCGAGTTGCATTCGAGTTCTCGACTTGCGACAACTTGCGGAAACGGAAAGACGTATCGATCGTGGATGCGAAATATGCGATTTTTCCATTCTTCCCTTTTTCGTGAACCGACAATCGTCCTATGTTCCTATTTTTTAATATGCACCGATGGATGCGTATGAAAAGATAGTGTACACCGATATACGGTCACTTCTATTAACGTAATTAGCAAGTAAACGCAAATCAGGAGATTTTCGCGCGAACTTTCGGTAGTAAGAAAGAAACTAAGCACTGCTCAAAGACTGAGAGGTCCAAAATTTAATGATATACATTGTACATTAGCCAGAAGAGCTCTTTACAACGTCGTTCGTTACGTGGATCATCCAGGAGACTTGGATTCATCAGAAGTTTATTTTATATCCAACAAGTCCGGGTACTAAATCTTAGCAAGATGAAAGTGTGTGAGTTCTGTATCTCTTCTTTTTTTTTTCATTTTCCATAGAAGGCGAAAACGAATGTTTAGATACCTAATAAATATTTGTGCTCGTAGAACATCCTTCTTCGCTTGACTAGTTGGTCATGATCCACTACTAGTGTCCATAAGTAAACTGTCATGACAGTGCTTCGTATGTACAATTATGGAAGAATGACTTCGTAAATAGTTAACAATTACGTTCGCGCATGTGGGCACGCGTGAAGAAGCAAGTACTGGCTTTCTTGCGGATAGAATAAGAAAACGCAGAATTTATTGATCGCCGATCGCACAAGCATTCGCGTAATGCCACCACAATTCTGCCTCAACAATTCGTCCCTTCGAACGCTCTACGAGTCAATTGTATTAATCAAGCAACAACCTTTATCAATTATCAAGATGAACATACGTAAACCTAAATCGAAATGACAACGTATAATGTAACGTAATCAACGATCGTAACAATTTACAATTTTTCGCGAAAACGTTTAAAATTAATTGCACCCAAATACGCCACACAATAAATTACTATACTTTTATAATTCGACAGATCTTTCGTAAACATTATGCACCACACTAAATAATGGTATCATAATTTGTCAAGTCATGTAACACACTGGTATATTCGTGCCTGTGTATATTCGGGTATATATATATATATGTATGTATATATTAAGAATAATAATTAAGGAAAACAAAACTTCTCCTGCTCTTAGCTTCAAAATTAATAATTAGTGGACGTCACAAGAAAGAAAAAAAAGACAGAAAAGAAAAATCCTTATCCACACATTTACATCTAATCACAAAGTAGTTTTCATCAAACTCAATTTTGCTGAAGAGCAGCGAATTAACTTATTTAAATAAGGCGGCCATATGAAAATAACTTCACACGCTCCGAAATTTGTACTTGTGACAATAAAATTATCATTTTGCATCTTTGAACTCACTTTCAACGCGAAGTATGGCATTACATAATCTCATAATCTTAACAATCGCTATACGCCTGCGTATCTTGCATTTCCTTTTAAAGCAACGAGTTTAGCGCGCTCATCTCTAATTTTGAGTCTCTACAAAACCGATCACTTTTATCACATTAAAATCCGCACATCGTTTTACCGTTCACTTTTATGAAAAAATGTAATAGCTATTTTGTACCGTTTGAAAGCCAATACATAAAAAAAAAAGGATCACACTAAACTAAAGTATGAGAATTTAAAAGTATAGAAGTACGCGACTAAGAGTATCATCATCGTACGGACATGTATGATCACGTAAAATAAATTTGGCGTCTCTGACATCATTTACCTCTTGATCCTTCTCTGTTTTCGATAATGATAATTATGCTCGTGTGTACTTCACCCTGCCTGTTAATGGTTGATTCCGCATGACGTAATTGCATGACGTAAAATGACTCGATACGCCAATGATATTAAATAGAGTTTGTATGATGGACTAGCTTCAGAGTTACGACTTGAATAAGAATGCATCTTCGACAAGTCATCGCACGTTTAGGCATATGCTGCAAGAAGATCACGATACGGATATGATTTTCCCTTTTATCGTTGTTTCGTCTAATAAAACGCTTCATTATTTCCCTCGTCTCACGCTCAAAAGGATTTCATTACGCACGTGTCATCCGATAAGTCCCGTCACTTGCAAATAACGCACATCGTTTGATGCTTTATAAGCATATGACGAATGTAATTGTAAGATAAACTCGGAGGGAGAAAAAGGGAAAGCAATATATCTGCAGGTTACGGAACATGTGTCCCGTTTACAATTTTAAATTTACGATCCGAGACGATTGGTTGATCCACGATCTTGCATCGTTACACTTAACGTATGTATGTAATGTATACGTGTGTGTATGCATGTAAAGGTCTCAACGTGAAGAGAAATCATATCATTGCCGTACATCATATCCGTAAAAAATCAACCTACAGCATAAATGTTACAAGTTTAAGTAGTCATTGGATTTCCACATTTTAAAATCCAGTAAATCTGTCGTGTCACGTGTGATCATAATGCCAATGGCTTTCATTCTTTCTGAGAGACAAGACATGATACAAAACATGTTTCGTAAAGTTTCTCATGGAAGACTTTAGGTGAATTATTTTCCGCGTATTATTCAGAGAGAGGAGAGATCCATATACTGTGTAATAAAAATATTGTCTTAAAGAGAAGATATATGTGGATATATATTATGGGAGAAATTCGGTAACCGATAATCCGATAAATCCGCGCTTTTACGTACGCTCGGAGGAACTGAACTGGATAAGTTGTTTCCACGGAGAAACTTGAAACATCTTTTTGTAGTTGATATATCCTACTATCGGGCGCTGATGCGATGAGAGATTGCAGTTCTTTTAAGCTTCGGTCGACGCTACGAGGGAACCTTTAGGCGTGTACGCTGTCGCATTCGGATCCAAATTTGACACAGTACACCCTGGACAGGGACTTTCGTTCGAACGTATTTTTGTTCCTGCTACTCTCACTTCACTATTTAAACGAAGCTTGGACGTCGCACAGGTTGGCGCTGGACCAAATGTGTCTTGTGGCATCACAGCTAAATCTTGCGCTATTTTTGTTTTCAACATCTCAATTTCTTTCTCCTGAGATCTGATTAAGCCTAATTCAACAGAGAACGTACAATGTGTGACACACCGCCAACAATAACAATCCAATCGGGACATGTGTATACACACGCTATCCCTCTTTATCTAAGATAAATCGTAACGCGCTTTATCTTGTAATTTGTACGTTACGTGAACATGAGGATCAAGTCCGGATATCGGACTAAGACTAGATCGAAGTTTGACCAATCAGAACCAAGTTCGCTAACTTCAGTTTGGCAAACTTTGCTCGGATCGGTCGAATTTCAGTCAAACTTCAATCTTAATCCGTAATCTGATACCTGGACCTAACGTACGTCATCTTGTAGAAGATAACGTCTTCTCGTGCAAGATAACACCATTTTAGAAGATGGCACACATTATCTTCTATAAATCGTACGTTACGTGAACATGGGTCTGCTAAGACGAAAATATAGAAGAACATATAAGAAGTGGAGAGATAAAAGAAACCAAAGATACTTACTTTCTCGGATCTCCAATTGTCGCTTAACCTCGCCGAGGGCCGAAAAGAGATCGAGTTTTATACGTGTCTCTGCGCTCAAGCTGTTCTCCAAGTGTGCGTTTTTGTCCTGTAGCGCGTTAAGCGCACTGAGTAAGATTTCGGACTCTCTGTGATTCTCCTTGCAACGTGCTGCATCTTTTTCCAATGCATTACACCTGGCAGCCATTAAGAAGTATATAAATATGTCGTTAATTTCAAATCATTCGAAAGGATTTGACTTGATTCGGCAAGTGTAGCAAAGACGACAAACGACGAAAAGCTTCGCGCGCGCGCGCGTCCCCCCCCCCCTCCCCTCCTACCTCTCTTCCTTTGATTTGTGTTCGCGGCGCAGGTTTTTGAGGTCCTGTTCCAATTGTGATCTGCGACTCTTACACGCGTCGGTGCATTCCTGTCTGATGAGCGGTGGTGGTGGAGGTGGAATCGCGGAACGTGCCTCTTCGGCAGCTCGCCGTGCCCTCCGTTCGGAGACCAGAGACGCTTCGCACGCGGTACGTTGCTTCCTCTCCTCCGCGATTCGCTTTTCTAACGAGGACATCGTCTGTTTGTCCAGTTGACGTGCCGTCACCAGACCGTGTAGTCTGTTAGACGTTAAAAAAATTGTTATGTTTAGCGACGCACAGTCATTCAGCCATATGGGAAATCGCTCGTACGAAAAAGTATTCATCTCGCGCGATCGTTAAACACACAGTGCGCACTCACTTGCTTTGTAACTGATCGTTATCGTGTTGGAGCTGTTGAATATCTCCCTTGGCCTGTCTTTCTCCATTCAGCAAGGTATTGATTTGCGATCGTAACTCTTGCTCCAACTGCCGGCTCGACTGCAAATCCGACTTCAAGCGTTTTATATCTGCCTCGAGCCTGCGACACATCAGTAACCTATTTCAACGACAGATCATGCTGAAGAAATGAATGAGAAGTCTACTGAGATGGTAATAGAAGATGGTATGAAGTCTCTTTTAACATCTATAGAGTACAATAAGAATGAGGGAGAAAGCGCGCGTGTGTGAGTGAGAGAAGTACAATATATAATAAAATATGAAATATACTGATATTTGATGGTATAAATTAATATGTATAAAATACCATATTTTTTTATAATTAGTTTCAACCTGAAGTCCTCGTGAAAATATATGAAAACACTAATAGAATGTCTACTTGTATATATGCGTGCGTGTGTAAACAATTATGTATGTAGAGTAAAAAATGACGTACCCAGGCAGAACAAATTTCTAAAAGATGTCAAAAAGTCCTATTTTTTAAATATCTTTCAGAATCTTTAAGCGGTTTCTTTAGAAACTTATTCGGCCTGTGTATGTAAAATAAAATAGATCAGGGCATCTATTATAGAATGGATTCCGGTCGGAGTCCGTTCAGTTATTTCCTAGATCTCCATTGTGTTTTCTAGGGAAAACTGAAGTATTCCGATCGAGAATCTTTCCGAATAGTTTCATAATACCTGCCCAAGTTAGGATTAAGATAAGTTGGACTAAGCCAGGTTAAGTTAGGGAAAGCAGCCTAAGAAGCGGAGAAAAGGAACATGAAGATTGGACTGTAATTATTGCGAGGAAAATTTATAAGCCCAAGGGAAACAGAAACAAAACATACATACATTCAACGCTTGTGTATTTACAAAAAATAAAAATAAACCCTTCCTCGATATACCTTTGACAATAATCGTCTTGCTGTTTCTGTTCTGCTGCAGTGTCACCAGCATTTTTAACTTGCCGAGTTTTACGTTCACGTTGGACACTAGTGGTCGATGATGAATCCCGATTCTCTTTCACGTTGTTCCATTTTCCTGTCACCGAACCGTTCGACTGCGACTTTATCGTGGTATGTCCACAACCCTTAATAGACTTATCTTTTTCTACTTCATTTATGTCGAAGTCATTTACAGATCTATTCGAAAGGATTGCCAGTAAGTACATCTCGCACTACGTACGAATAAATAAAATCAAAGTACATGGTAGTATCAAGTTTTCAACTTTACTCTCGTTTTTATCACGCATGTTCGACATGCTCCGATTTACTCGGAAAAGCAGTCCTTCAACCAAGCATTCGAGTAAAGTTAAAGGCAAATGATACTTACGACGTGTGATCGACCTTACCCAACCCTTTCAATGAGCTGAATGTCACTGTGTGTCACAGTACTACAATTACTGTGTATAAACTTCTTGTCACTCTTGTCCGACGGCGACATACTCGACACATTATGTTTATTATGCTGTTCCTCCTGCTTCTCACCCTTGTCTAACGACTTTCTATGAGTACTTTTGTTAGCAACACTATGTGTTTGCGGTGCGATTTGACTACTATTGTGTAATCCGCCATTTTGTACGTTTGTTTCTACGGAATTGTTACTGCCCCCTGAAAAAGGAGAAAGAAAAAAAAAAGGAAAGAAAATGAAAACAGAAGCGATGAGGGGATACGTTTGACGCGTGAACGCGCGACAAGTATATTCGCATTCGGAAGAGTTTGATAATAAATACAAGCTACCTCTGCTCTTCTCAGGGCTTGGATTATACTGTGGACTCAACTTGTGTGTTTGAGTTTTAACGTGTTGTTCTATCGACGTTACGGCGTGTGCCTGTGACTGTACTTGCGGTTGTATTTGCTGCATTGACATAGCTTGTTGCTCTAGAGGCAGTGCTTGTTGCAGTAACTGCAGGTAGAATTCGTTCTCCTTTGCCACATCTTTCTGTTTTCTCTGTTGAGCGAAAGCAGATATCGAGATACACAAAGTGTTGTAACAACGAGGACGTATCACAAGGATGTACTTTTTATATCTTTTGTAAATAAATAAATCGATATGTAATATGAAGCAAAAAACTAACCTGCCTCATTCTGTAGCCTACATAGCTCTTGAAACCGAAGCCCAATGTAACTACAGGATAGCCAATGCTGCAAAAATCGACAAGTTATCATTAGACAAATTTAAGTTGAAGCAAACGGATCAATAAAATTATATTAAAAATAGACATGTGAAAGTCCTAACAACTATTTTTGCAAAAAAACAAGAGAAAATATACCAATGTGCTGCAAATGGCCGGCAGAGGTCTAGATGAAATGGCATATGACGTAAGTCACGCAACCGCACTGCTGCTTCTATGTATAGAAATAGTAGCCACAGCATCACAGTTGGTAGACACACTCCTTTATCTGTTCAATATCAAGATTTTCATTGGTTTCGCATCGATTAAAGGCTGTTTCTCAAGCAGGTATGCGGTATGAATTGTGTTGACACAGTGAGAAACTATATTTTGACAAATATATGCATACACACACGCATATATATATATGTGTCTCTGGTACATTTATCTACATGATAAATACATTTGTTTTCCACATACCTGTGTGCCAAACATATTGCACCCAAACATAAGTGCTGGCAGCAAAGAATAGCCAATGCACAGGGATGAAAAAAAAGCAAATCATGTCTGATGTAAGTGCGATACAAATAAAAAACACAGAGAAGGCCTGGAAGAAAAAGTGAGTTCACATTTAAGTTCTTATACATGATATGTACTTTCAAGCACTTGATACGGTATCTTGCGATAATCTGGAATTGCATAACACTGTGATATACTCACCAAGCCTTGATATTTAAAGGAATCGTAAACACTTCGGAGGAGCAGCCAGAATGGCCACAAGAATTCAAAACGGAATTCTAAAATGAAGTCTGCCAAGATCACCATGGCCCATAGTAGAAGAAACTTCAGATAAAGCAAAGTACTGAAACAAAACGTAATTACATATGTCAGTGCACGCGCATTCTCCCAATGACCTGTCTCTTTGTAAATTATAAATCTGTGATTTGCTAAATTCACACCACTCTTGTGTAAACACCGTCGCCTCCCTCCGATACACAAAGATAAAAGGAGCAAACAGATGGTGCAAGATGTACAGTTCAGGACATTATATAAAAAAAAAAAAAGAAAAATAAGAGGCTTACATAACGCTAAGATCTCGAGCTTGAACAAAGGGAAGCTGAGAAGTCGATCGACTGTCTGGTCGGTCCCACGGTATTACGAACTAGTACTAACAGCAATGTTAGCGCACTGCTTAGCGCCACACGAAGGTATCGGACGAAACACAAGTGCCAGGTATGCGATCTTTGCGCTGCGCAAGCACAAAGATCCAGGAGACATTGGAAACCGCGGGGACGAGACACAGGGCAGGTGATTGACGGGAAGAATCACGCGTGAGAGCCGGACGCTTCGGACAAGTGTCAAGCGAGCGGCGAGAGGAAGAAGCGTGCGTTGCGCCGATAGCGCGGGTCCGGGCGCGCGACGGCGGCGTCGTTGCGGACGGCGGACTCGCGCTGGCACGCGCCGTTCGCCGTGGTCGCATCTCTTTCTCCTTCGGCACCCACTCGGGCTTTTTGGTTATTTCCCCCCCGAGGAGAACGGCCTCCATTCCCGGACGGCGGAGCACGCATATGGCGGCGGGAGACAGAGGGAGAATTTACCTTCCGTAGATCCCCTCGGTGAGCTTGTTGCGTTTCAAGGGCCTCCGAAGCTTACCGCACTCGACATTTCTCCTCTTCATATTCCTCACGACCACTTTCACCACCGGCTGCTGAGCGACGTTACTCGCGGCGCGCTACGGGGAAACAGAAAAAAGCCGCGCCACCAGGAGGGAATATGCGCTCCTCTCGCGCCAGGGGACTCGCGCGTGGAAAAAACTCGAGCTCTCTCTCGCGCGCGCGACTTCTATCAGTCTCTTTTGTTGTCATTCGTCTGTGGACAGATTCGAGGTCTCACGACGGTTTACCAAGCAGCTGATTGGTCCATCGCGGGACATGGCGCTTAATCAGCGACGAGGAATCACCTGCCGATTAATCGCGCGTGCCTGCCGCGGACGCAGCCTGCGTCGCGAAAATCGGCGCCGTTCGTCGTCGTCTCGCGCGCGCGCGCGCGCCTCTCTCTTTCTCTCTCTCTCTCTATCTCGTTTTCCGTGCTTCGATCAAGTTCGGCCGATCGCCCGCCGGGAAATATTATCGCTCGGCCGTGCGAAGCGACACGCGTCTCTCTCTCTCTCTCTCTCTATCTATCTATCTATTTATCTATCTATCTCTCTTTCTCTCTCTCTCTCTCGTCTCGACGTCTCTTATCGCATTCGTGAAACGTGCCTCCGCGAGCTCGTGAGAAAGCCGCACTGCCGCGCGATTCTCGCTCCCGCCGATTATCGGGACCCTACGGAACGGTAGAGAGACGAGGCCTTTATCGATCGTAGATGTCTCCCAACCGTGCTGCGGTCGGTTCGAGCGAGCCAGCGGCGCTCGCTCTCCGACCTGGCAACACGCGTCGCTTCGTCTCCTCTCCTCTTTTCATCAGTCTTCAGCGCACGCTATACCAATTGGCGGATCCTTGTCGAGCCGGTCGATGCGATGCAGTACGCGGTCGTAAGCAACGGACGATCGATTTCCTGTAATTTTGTTCATTTGAATTACCATCGTCGCGTATATTAATCTATCAGAACGCAGTTTTTCTCTCTCTCGCACCTTCATGGTTCCGCGATTTCGGGCTGAACCGTTACGATCGCGGAGATATAATCGACACATCGGGATTGCGAGATGATATGTCGCGAAAAGTCGTCGTCGCAGTCGACAGGTGCGATGAGAGAGAGGGAGAGAGAAAAAAACAATCGAGCTCGTTTGATTCGCTTTGTACTCGCTCGGTTTGTCTCTTCTCCTGTCGCTAGAAAACGCATCTGCTACCGCGACTGAAAAACGCGTTCAGTCTGCGCGGAGCGGAAGTGTTTTCCACTAGAATCACTGGGGAACAAATTCCCTTGGATGGGCCTCGGATGCGTTCCGAAATTCGTGCGAAAATTTCGTTTAAAATTGTTCACTAATGGCTTCCCGTCTAGTGACAAAAGTCGACACAAGCATTGCTTTGTCTTTGTTCCATCTTTAATTAGTAACAAAGATAGGATGATGCTTTTGTCGATTTGTGTCGCTAAATGAAAATAAAACTATTATTATATCTACTATAGATGCCCGGACAAAGCCCGTATCAGATTATGAATTAAAATTGAGATTAAATTGAAATTTGATCAGAGCAAACTCTAAGCAAGCTCAGAGCAAACCTTTTAAACTCAAGTTAGTGAACTTTGCTTTGATTGGTCAAATTCCAATCTCAATCCTAATCCGTAGTCTGACACGGGTTTAATGCATATGCAGAAAAAAATTGATCAGTCGTGTGTCTAAAGGTCGTTCTACATTAATTGCATGTCGATCGCAAACAGATACAATATTTATTGTGATAGGCAATCGGAAATGTCAACAATATCATTGACGCTTCTGACTGGTTATCACGACGAATGTCGCAACCAATGTAGAACGACCTTAATATAGAAGACATTTTTCTCTGCACGATTGGTTGATTTCCTTATGCAATATGCAGTAATGCAAGTGTATCTGGATAGGCCTTTAGGATGAAGTATTCCTAGTAATTTACTCCAGCTAGCGAGTAAATTATGCATATAAAATTTTCGTCCAAAATAAATATCAGTTTGTGAGTTAAAACTCTCTCAGAGAGGGAGAGAAAGAGAAGAAAACAGCGTAGAAAAAAATGAAAGGAAAGTATAAGCGTAATCGAGAAAAACTGATCGTCTACTCTCTTCCTGCCGAAAGCGGCAATAATCTTCGAACATACTTATTAAATATAATTCTGAGTAAATTTTATCTGTAGAATTCCAAGAAATCTATCTTGATTACGTCTTCCTTCAACACCCGTCATCCGCCTGACTTTGGTGAACGATAAGAACGATGCTGCTGGTACTAAAAATGAATAACAAAGTAATCCCAACATAAAGAACATACTTGTGACTCACCAGTGATAAAAATTTCAACCGATAATTTGGCATAAACAATGAATGACAATTTGCGTGTCGAGGGAAGAGCTGCAGATATGATCTCGAGGAACACGAACTTGGTGCCGGTGATTTCTACGGAGATGAACAGTGACACCAGCGACAAGTACACGTCATATAACAACAAAGTGAAGATTCATCTTGTATATGGAGTTATTTTAACCACGCTTTTTGCTTTTTCTGTGTACAAAGCGACTAAAGACAAAATAACCAAGGACGTGATTACATCGCTGATCGCGACGTGCTTCGCAATATCAATATTCATTGTCATTTTTGTCATCTGCGAAATAATACTGTGTCTATGCCAAGTACTGGTCTTTAATCACTGGTTCGATCTCACGTCAACACTGAGTCATCACCTCGTCCCGAATACCGCATCGATAGTGATCCTTGCCTGTGCTGTACTAACATTCTTGGGGCAGATCTTCATCTTGCAAAGATGCCCGTTACATTACATATGGGACTGTGGGCCTCACGTATACGTTGTATCTATGGTCTTTTCTTTTCTGCTGTTAAGGTCGGTGACTTCCGAGCGGAGAACAAATGAATCGCCAGTCTTCAGTCTCAATGACCTGAAGGGTTTGGATTACGGCACTGGCATGGCGTACAGCTATTATTATGGTTACCTGCGACTGGTACTACCATCCTCTGGTACCACCAGCAAGGGTATAGTCGAGAAGATCGAAAATTTCGAGGACACGCATAATGTCAGTTTTCCGATACACAAACTGTTCATCTTGATACCGTCGTCTGGGTATATCCCCCCGAATCTGAAAGAGATGTCTGATCAATGGATGGAGAGTGCGAAGGAACTTGAAGAAGAGAGGCGCAACCGGGCCGGCAATATTAGAAGAACTTACCACAACAACGTGTACAAAATATATCCTGGTGGGCGAAAATCAGGCGCCGATCCAATTTACGTGGTGGCGGAAGGCGCGTCACCTTTGCTAACGTTTTACGAGGTACAGAAACACAACCACGCGGAATCCGCTGTATACAAGCAATTCAGGCAAGAGATTATTAATACTTTTCATGTGAAATTGCACAATGTTTTACAGAGCGAACTGGATACGAAAGATCTGTGCGAATTGATTTATTATCATGATTACAAGCCGGACGGAACTAAAGTTAACGTTGCAAAGATAATCCTAGAGAGAATATTTCAAATGACACATACTTGATATAAGTATGAAGCGAAAATAAAAATGTATTATGACAATGTGATACCGAGAATTTATATTCTCGTATACAAAAATTGATTATATACATTAGGAAATAACACTTAATGTACAAGAATATTATATCAATATAGGATTCATTATAGTATATAATCTTATATATTTCATTTGAATAAATAAATAAATAAATTATATATATATATATATATTCGCATATATATTTTCATATATTTTTTTTTATCTGACATATTTCACAAGGATATTCGGTATGAAAGAACAGTGACGAGATATTTGTATAAAATGTATCATTTATTCGCAGATACAAGTCCCTTAGGAAAAAGGTTACAAAATATTGCGTCAGCAATTTTCAAAGGAAGACATCACGATCGTCGAGAGATCCACGAGACCGTTCCATCTTGCCACGTAAACTTCTTCACGTGTCACACGTCAGCCGGGGGGGGNGGGGGGGGGGGGGGTGCTAACGTCGAAAATTAAATGGATCGTGTATAATACATACAAGGAGTAGACATACGCTGCTTCGTCCGGGACGAAGGTGTTGTTGTTACCGCTCGAAAGGGTTGTAAACCTTAGCAAAGACACCGATGAAAGGCACAGAATTGAATCCTGAGCAAGCATGTTAAGCCGCAGCTCTCGCGAACGATGCCGTGCAGCATCGACTTTTGAGCATAGCTAGGAACACACGTTCGCAATCACAAGTGGCAGTAGCGGTTTTGTTGTATTTACACGTCACATATCCATTTCAAATTGCTCCGCGGATTCCTCGATCAGAGCGTCTGTAACATTGCATTAAACATGAGGAAAAATTCGGACGCGCATGGGAGATTGATATATTTTATTATCAGCGCAAGTACGTGTGGAATATTTCTCTCTCAAAGACGCACGGTGATAACATTGAATGGTAATGAATGTAATCTCACCTTTATCAGCATTTTTCGCGGGATTCGTCGTCGTGATGGCCGGCGTGCCCTTCAGCAATTCCGTCGGTATGCCCAGTGTGCTACGTGGCGGCGTTCGTGAGATCGGCGAATTCCGGAGGTTCATGAGAAACGCACGTTCATAGACGATGCGAGTACCTGCGTAGAATCACATTGTAAGTCCCCATTGTCATCAGTGAGGTCGGGTCTGAACGGACTCTTCGGAGTTAGGTACATATATTTACTTCAGCCTCAAATGCCAAGGAGAGAGTTTTTCGTAGCTAATTATGATGTGTTAAACTCTCATTCTTTCGGTAAATGAAGGTCAATAGCTAACATTAACACTAGTTGTTGGTCGAAGAAAGAAAAATTACTCGACTGACTCAAATTCGTTGAGTCAGTCGTTCATACTAAGGAGGGTCGGCAACTACGACCGTTTGATTACTTCGTCTTCCACGTCGAGTAATTCTTTTTCTTTCTTCGCAACCAGTAATAACCAGCGTTGACTCTTATTAGCGTTCATTTACTCAAAGATATATTCCAAAAGTTCAACCTGTATTTTCTTTTTAAATTCTCATTGTGCAAAAGTTGTCCGTGAAATTGTAATTCCGATTGAATCGCGATGCAACGGATGACTTTATCCCATTTGCTTCGTAAACATAATTTACATTTTTATTTTTGCATGATGTACAGTATCAATTAGATTCGAAATGGCGATACGGTGCTCACGATTATTTATTATCGGGTAAAACTGAAGAGTCAATATTAATTTCTGCTATATGAGGAAATATAACAAATTCGCCTTATTATCGCTACTTCAATGTAATCGCTACGCTTCGGTATAAAAACATTTTAACGGATTTTAATACTTTAGGGAAATAATTTTCCCACAAAAGAAATATTTGTTTGTTTTTAAATATTTTTTTCTCTCAGTGTAGTCGAATATTCGGGTATTCGAATAACGATACGATTTAAGTCGCAGCCCGATACAGAACGCAGACGATGGTCCAATGAGAGAATTTGTTTCTCGAAGGTGAGGATTCTCCTCATTGGACCATCGACTACGTATGTTCTGACACTCAACAACAATGCGCGACATATCGTACAACAAACCGAATAGAATCGATGTGGAAGGGAAATTAAAAATCAATTAACTAAACGGCGGAGAGGAGGAGAACGAGAGAAGAAGAAGAAGAAGAAGACGACGACGACGCCAGTAGAGAGGATACAATGGTCGCAGTGACAGTACGGAAAGCGGCGCAAAGTGTCTATTTATACAAGTGTATTTCTGTACTAACACCTAACCGAAAGGGGTGCAAGGGTCGGCAAAGTCGCTAAAACAAACTAATCGCGGAAAGTGCGTAGACACTTGCATGCGTGTGCGAGTCAATCTCCCCTACTATGTATCAACGAAGAACATGTCGTGGAATTTCTTTATACGTGTAGCCTAGGACTTTATGCATCAGCCTGGAATCTTCTCCGACGGTTTTCTGTGGTAAACCGTGTCTGTAAAATAGACATAAACAGAGTGTGGGGGGGGGG